TTATCACAACCGGGTTGGGATCTCTGCTGAAGTGCGTTATGTAACATGGTTCTGGAGTTGGTGATTAGTTGTGATCTACTGTAGTAGGTAAAGTCGTAGACGGAAATGTATACTCGTGGATGTTGATCTGATGATCCAGGCTATCTTCTACCGAGATGGCAAATTCGGCTGGACAGGAATAGTTGCACCACCTACATGGCAAACTACGTAAAAGCCTAAATCTCGCCCCTCCCCGGATGGATGGAGTCAATGTGCAGTGCGCGTCCGGTGATGCCGATGACAAGGCCAACAAACGGAACGGAACGGTCGGCGGGGAGAGAAAAGGGTTTTCCATTTCGATTTTGTGCGCGTCCAGTCAAGTAGTACTTAGTAGTGTTGCGGGCTGAACAAAGGCAGTGAGACTGCCGTAGGTAGGTAGGTGTTGCTGCTTGCTTGCTTGCTTGCTTGCTTGCCTGCTTGGGGATTTGTATGAGCAAGTGCCGAATAGTCATCTAGTCCAAGGCTCGGTTACGAGTGTGTCTTGATCCAGGCAGTTATTGTAACCCTTGCGTAACGGGCGTTGTGACGCGTTGAAAACGGTGAACTTGTGGGGACTAAAAACGAGACGGCAAGTCAGAAGGGAGGTCACTTGCGAGTATTGACAAACAAGAAAAGCACGAGAGGGAAGGAGTCAGCAAAGAAGGAGGGGGAAAGAAGGAGCATGTGTAAGTTATTGAGAAGTAATCAATGTAATACAGATGGTGGAGTTTAGTGCTGGATGAGAAACCACCGAAGGTTCGCTCGAGTCTCGCTCGACAGAGACAGAGTTACAGAGTTGGAAGGGGGCACGGGGTTAGATAACTAGACTAGTACTCCATAGTTACAGAGATGTCGTGACCAAAAAAGGTGTTGGCCTGTTGGCCCGCCACAGGGTTTGTTAGTGAGTGATTGATGATGATGATGATGCTGATGATCGGGTCGGATCGTGGGTCATTCGCCGCTAAGGTTGCCAACTTGAGGCATCCCTCCTTCAATGGGTGACTAAGACATTGATTGACCTTCAATTCCTGCTCCTCCGGCGCCTGGAGTGGTTGAATGGTCGAACCGTCCTCCTACGCACTGACAGTCTGACTTGGAAAGGGAGGCTTGAGTACTCCGTACAGTAGATAGGTGTTAGCTTGTCGTGGTCCCTGCTAGGCAGACAGTCAAAATGAGCCAATGCAGGCCCGAGACTGACCCCTCCTCTATCTATCCCTGGTTGTAAGCCGAGATTGCAGCTGAGCTGAGCATCCGTTCGGCATTGCACGGAGGACATGATGATGTTGAGGAGGGGAAGGGCGCGAAGTAAGTTAGGAAGGGCATGTCATCAAGCATCGCTGGGGTGCGTAATCAATCGACCGACCAACTATCTACCGTATCCCAGTCTGTACTGAAGATTACACGGTAGTACTACCCCATACTAGCTACAGCAGTAGCAGCAGCAACACATTCTGTGACGAGCCAATGCATTTCTTCGGGGTTTGGGCAGTCTCTGCCGATATATCAGATCGCACAAATGATTCCTACTGTCTGAGCATCCAATCCTCGCTTCCAATACCGGACAAAAGAGGAGTAAAGGAGGAGGAGGAGAAGGAGAAGGAGGCAACGATGCAGGCTGCTGATGATCCATTACTCGTGGGTCGCAAGTGTGCGGAGGTACCCATCAGTGTATGGTAAGGTAACTGCGTACGGGACTCATCTACGAGTAAGTAATGTGGCTTGCTCAATTTAGCCCCAGACTGACTGCTTGAGTCTCGGGCTTGCCTTTCTCTCTCTACTCTCTCTCCCATGTTTAGTTTGGTTTAGTTTCGGCATGTCCCAGACCCACCGCGCAGACTTTCTCTCCGTATCTGCTCCGTGGTAGGTCCCAGTTTCTGGTTCCTTCTTGAACTTCCATCCCGGCCATCCTGCTGCTGTTGCTGCTTGCTGGTGGCTTGGCTTGGGATTCCCTGGCTAGAGTCTTCCCCGATTCCAGTTTCCTATCCAATGATGATCATCTGTCCGTGCCCCGGTTTCCCATTCCCTCCTCTGTTTTTGTTTTTTATTTTTTATTATCTGGTTTAATTTATTTTCTCTTGGTTTCCCCCCATTCTTAGATGGTGGACGGACTGCACTGCACCTCCATAACTGAATTACTAGTTAGCTACACTCAAGTTAGCTACACTGCACTCAATCATTCACTTTACTACCGACTGGCCAATGGGTCTGATCATCCCCACTATCAACATTGAGTACTTCCCCCCACTTAGATAGTACGGAGTACGCTACACGCTACCACCATCATCATCCATCGTCACCCTCATTCTACGAGTACCCATGGGTCCGTAGTTCCAAAGTCTGTTTTGTTCTTTTTTTTTTTTTCTTTTTTTTTTTTTTTTGATTTATAACTATTTTCTCTCTGCCTCCGAGTCAAGACAGGTGGGTGAAGTGGATCTCGACATCGTGTGGCATGGGCTCATCTGAATCACCACCAGGCTGGATCCCTTCCTTCGTTCCTTTCTTCCTTCCCTAGCCGTGGTCCATCCTACGACAGTACGACTACCTCCAGTGCTCCACTCATCCCATGTCTTGCCCTGGCCTGTTACTAGTCTGTTTTCGTTAGTGTCAACGTCGTGTCATCCCAGCGTGTGTCTATCCTTTTTTCACATTTTTACATTTTACACTTTACACTTAGAGTAGTCTAGTCTACCACTTTGCACCAGTCGTGGTTAGTAACCCGAATGGATCGTGGAACTGGGGCGGATGGTAGATCAAGAAATGTGCCCATGTAAGTACTTACATACTCACATAGGCTACGTTCCACAGCGCCATGTATCACCCATGCCTAATTCGGGTCTATTAAATTAATTATTATTATCATCCGTCACTTTCTTCTGCCTATCGCCTTATACTTCTGGGATTGTTGCCGAACAATCATCAATCTAAGGGACTGGAACCGGCCTAACCTTAGTACGCACGCACGCACGCACTTGCTTCCCGTACCTTGCCTCAACGCCTTGTGACCCTCACGCCCCCCTGTGTCATCTGTGGATGATAAGTCTCGAACCCCAGTCTATCACTTCGGAGATCCTTCTTACTGCTTCCTGCAGTCATCCATGGGTCCTATCCCGTATTTGATACTCATATAAGCGGAGATCCTCTTCCCTTCTCCCAATGCCCCCCCCCCATCCTGCCTTCCCTATATTTATGAATGTTCATGCCCACTGTCCACCACCTCTTTACCTTCAATCTCAACCTCACCTTCACCTCCTCTCAGGACCATACCTATCCCTATTCCGCTCTACCGCCCACACTTATCCTCAATGGCCGATTGCTGGCAACCTCAAGCCCCATTCGTCGACCCAGCCTGGGCCTCCAACAACCAACCATGCATGCGCTCTGCGACCTTTCGCGACATGATCCATGCCTTCCCTAGGCCAAAGCAGACCGGACGGGTGACCAAGCCCCGGAGTGCCGGCAACAGTCCTGCTTCTGCTGGCAGACGGAGGACGACGACCATGCCTCACAGTTCGACCGTGTACCCTGGCTACCAAGCCCCATTCAACCCTGCCGCTTTGGCATCCGCCTTTTCCCGGAGTAGTCGCAACCGTCCGATGAGCTGGCATCCAGTCATGGACTCGTCTACCTTCGCGACGGACCCGTACTTCGCGAACTCGACCACTGTGGACAGCCTGGCCGCCGTAGGCATGTGCCCTCAGCCACTCCCCACCGCCCCGGCTATCCTCGAAGGCAACGACATGCTGTCCTCGTACGCCAATGGGCTTCCTTTCTTCGCTGGCGAGCAAGATCAATTGCCGCTTCACCAGTGCGCCTTTGTCCAAGAGGATCCCGTCTCCTGGGAGACAAGTCACTCGACGATGCCCGCCATGACTGAGCCCATGTCAGATTGCTGGTCATTCGACATGGCTTCTATGCACAGCAGCATGCCTTCTGCCTACGTCGCCGACTCCACCTATGACGAGAGCGTGCCATCCTCGGGATGCCTGACAGGCCCGGCCACCCCTCAGTTTCTTCCCATCCAGCGTCCAGATGACGATCTGACCGCCAAGCCCAACTCGGAAGACGAACTCGTTGGCATGGGCCTGTATAGCAACCCCGAAGCATTGAGCGAGACTTCGCTCCTGGGTCTGTCTGGCAAGGGCTTGAAGTTGGAAGAGACATTCACTCCCTCGGCCAACGATGCGGAGGACAAAGACGAGGACGACGAGGACGACGACGACGATGAGGACGACGAAGTCGATGATGCCGCCCCTCAGGAGCAGGAGGGAGCCGCCTTCCCCAGCTGCGCGGCACCTAACCGTCAGCCCCAACACTCTGTTAGTCAGCATCCCGTCAAACCCGCCGCGAACATGATGCACAAATCATTCTTCTTCGAGGAAAATGGCTTCGAGCAACATGCGATGGTCGGATCTCAGCCGCTCATCAACATGGCCAGCCAGCCCTGCGTCAACTATGGCTATGGCTGGATTTGATTTTCAGAAAGCATTCATCCGCCTGTAACATTTTTTTATGAATCCTGTATTCGCTATTCAGCATTGCATAGCGTGGAGTTGTGTTTTTCTTTCTTTATTGTTTGTTTGGTTTCGACCGGCGTTTTACATGTACCAAATACCCGGGATGGCTGATTGGAACTATTCCTTTCTTTTATGATGACTATATGGATTAGAGAGTCCTTGGGTGTTGTAGCACCAATGAATGAAGACATCCTCAGGGATGACAAATATGATGAACCATGATGATCAATGAGTGCACAATAATTATTTTGGTAGGTAAACATAAGGATGGGAAAGGGAGTAGGTAGTTGATGAGTTAGTTGGCAGTTACGAAAGGGAAGAGACCAGACGCGGACGGTGAGAACCGAACCCCCCCGGGCCCGGCCCATCGGCTGGAAAAACCTTTCCGCCGTCAAATAAAATCACCGCGGCCTTTGATATGTAGACGACCAGGTCTAGATTCAAGGTCAATTGACACGCAGAGAAGGAGAAATAACCTCTTTGTACGAAGCAGAGTGAAACCTCTCAACCTCGACTTGAGGCAACTTGATTCTCGCGTCATCATGGCCAAAGTCATCTTCACGCCGTGGAAGGAGCAATCCCAATTACTGGTGGTGCGGAATCAATTCTACCCTCCGCCGCTATACGATGGCCCCGACATGCGATCCAGGGCCTGCGCCACAGTAAGTGAGAATGTCATTCCAGCACATCACATCCCATCCCATCACTTCCCTAAAGCTCCCGCGCCCGGAATCCCTGACACCCGACCTACATGTTCTTTTTCTATACAGGACGATATTTGGGTAAAAATGAGAAGTAAAAGCTAACTCCCACTTTCCAGGTCAGCGCATGGAAGCTGCGAGGCAACCTCCCCCATCCCGTCGAGGCGACCGCCTTGTTAACGGATGCGATTCTCCATGATGACGCGCAGAAGAACTCCATCTTCTCCATTCGCGCGACCTATGCGGCTGCTTTCTGTCGGTATGTTTTCACTGATTCTTTTGGCGCGCTTTTCTGGGGGTGATTCTGCCATGTGCGGGGGAGCTTGAGCTTTGTTTGTCCCTTCCCCTAACCAATCACTTTATTTTTTTTATCTCTCCTGTACGAATATCTGTTATCCTTTTAACTGACTACTTCGCACAGCTTCGTAACGGGCCTCGTCGACTCCAAGCTCGGCGGTGTCCGCCGGACCATGTTCCAGCGCGCCCTGGACCTGGGTCTCCCCGCCTCGTTCGTGGAGCTGCGGCACGAGGCCACGCACCGCGAGCTCCCGTCGCTGACGGTGCTGCGCAACGCGTCGCAGCGGTCCCTGGAGTGGCTGTGGGATTATTACTGGGCCAAGACTGAGGCGTCGGTTCCGGGCTTTGGGGCCGTGGGGGCTTCTGTGAGTGGGGTGCAAGAGAAGCGTGTTGCGGGAGGGGAAGAGGCCGAGCAAGAAGAAGAGGAAGACGAAGAAGCCGATCTCGAACCGCTCAAGTCGACGCTTCGGGATACTCTGGAGCAGATTGTGGCTGAGGGAGAGCAGCAGCAACCCCCGCGGAAGAAACGCAAGGTCCAGCAGCATTTGAATGCCGTTGCCGGTGAGGTGGTGTCGACGTGTCGGTCGTCGGGGCGCGGGGTGGCTGCTTTATCGAGTGTGCTGGTGCAGGATTCGCTGTTGGTTCCGGGAGGCCGGAGGTGAGTTTCCTATTCTCTGTTCGATTCTGCTCGCGAAGGGAGGGTGGGAGTGCTGATCAAGGTCGACAGAATGGGAGAGGCAATGGCTGCTCAGTTCGACATGTGGGATCCGTTATTGCAGATGATCGCAGATGCGCAGCCTACGTTCTTGTCGAGTCTGACGGAGGAGCTGGCCAATGCGCTGGCGCTCACGACACGGCCAGATCAGGCGAAGACCGATGTCCGCTGTGAAGGTGCCTATTTGTGGCTGGACCACATCTTGGGGTCGGCGCAGTGGGAGTCGCGGAGACGGCTGGTCTCGTATGCGTATATGCTGGCCGTGTGTGAGCAGATTGCGAACCATTGGACGGATTTGCTGAAGGAGAGGCTGGCCGAGAGACAGGACGAGGGGGTGCCGTCGGTTGATGGCGAGGGTTCAGGGCGCACGAGGAGCTCTGCTGCGACGACGCGGAAGATGGTGTACTGCTGGGATGTTCTGTACCCGTTAAAGAGTTTAGGGACTTAGTGGGGTATTAAGATCTCGGACCTTTCGGGGAGAATTGTTTAAATGGATAGCTATCTTTTTTTTACACCAAGATTGTGACAAACTTGCCATGAAAAGTGCTATTGGGTAATAAGATGAATGTCAACCTCACCTCCTGCATTGATGGTTGTATACCGACTCAGCCACACGTGGCTGAAGCGGGCCCCAGCTGGAACCGGGTCGACCTATGAGGTAATCTCCAATCACTGCTTACGGTTGTATCTCATGATGATGGATTAACAATCTCTCCCCCGCATCGCAATCAGCTGCTCATAATCAACCGGTGTTGTCAACCCCTCATGTCCCTTAACTTCACGAGAACGATCCTCTCAGCTGCCAGATTCCGTCCTACGAGGTTCATCCACCCCGCATCCGCCAGAGCCATGCATATCCAATCGATTCCGATGTGTAAGTTTACCCGAATCATGTTTACACTTGTCTGCTGTGTGTCATGGTTGCTAATTCCCGTCGAAAGGGACCGGGAAGGGCAACAACTATGCCTACCTGGTCACCGACGAGCCCACCAAGCAGTCGGTCATCATTGACCCGGCCAACCCGCCCGAGTAGGTTTGCAGTTGATGTACTGTACAGTGCATCGCTGACCGTGGTTCTAGGGTGACCCCCGAACTAGAATCGCAGATCAAAGCCGGCAAGATCGACCTCACCGCGATCGTCAACACTCACCAGTGAGTCGAGTTCCAGCTTGTGCTCTCCCTTGTAAAGAACAATGCTAACGCAGTCCAAAAGCCACTGGGACCACGCCGGCGGCAACAACGAGCTGGTCAGTTTGCACTCTACCATCAAGGACCAACCTTGTCTACCCCAGGGATTATCGGCTGCGAACTAACACCCGTCAAGCTCAAAACCTTCGGCAAGCTGCCCGTCATCGGCGGCAAGGACTGCCAGTCCGTGACGCAGACGCCCGCGCACGGCGAGACTTTTCGAATTGGCGAGCGCATCGCCGTCACGGCCCTGCACACGCCCTGCCACACGCAGGACAGCATCTGCTATTTCATGCAGGATGGGGACCAGAAGGTGGTGTTTACGGGGGATACGTTGTTTATCGGGGGTGAGTTTCCTTCCCCCTTGATTCTGAAGTGTTGGTGGTGTGTGAGGGGGGGGGGTGTTCGAGCTAATGATGTATGGTGCTGTAGGATGTGGTCGGTTCTTCGAGGGTACGGCCCCGGAGATGCACAAGGCGTTGAATGAGACGCTGGCGGCTTTGCCGGATGATACTAAGGTTTATGTACGTTTCCGTTCTTTGGGGGGTGAGAGAGACAAAGAGAGGGGATGAGTGATGCTGACTGCAGTGGCTCCAGCCGGGACATGAATATACCAAGGCCAACGTCAAGTTCTGTCTGGCGGTGTCGCAGTCCGAGCCTATCAAGAGGCTGGAGGCGTTTGCCGAGGCGAATCAGGAGACGCAGGGGAAGTTTACGATTGGGGATGAGAAGGTAGGTCTTCTTTCGTCTGAAAGGTGGAAGGACGGCTGACTTGGATATTTGTTCTAGCTTCACAATGTGTTCATGCGCGTCAATGTAAGTCACCTACCTTAGATGGGTTGGGAATGGGGATTGACGTTTAGTAGGACCCGGAGATCCAGCAGAAGACTGGAAAGACGAACCCGGTTGAGGTGATGGCGGCGTTGCGGGAGATGAAGAATGCCATGTAGGGTGTGTCTGTATTTTCTAGGTTAGGTGTTGGTGGGTGGTGGCGATGTATAACGGCGACGGATGTAGTATGATTGACAGGTGGAGAAGTGGAAGCATTGGGCTGTCCATACTAGTGACTATGCTTGAGACTATTTGTTGTCACTCTGGCTATTTAGCCCCATTCAAATCTTCATCGACATTCTATAGTCCCAGCCAAGTAACCCAGCTTCCACAGCATATGACCATACCCCGATCCAGCCAACCCCCTCTGCGCTTAATAGCAGGATCTATCCTCGCCGAAAGTGACTTCGCCGACGTTGACCTTGCAGTGAAATCCCCGCTGCCATGTTTACATGCATTAGCATTGTACTCAATCATCGTGACGTCAGACATCAGACACCACATGCTGGAAGAGTATAGAGAAGCTACCACCGTATAAGATAGCTTTCTTTACTCAAGCACTGCTTCTCATACCTCCACACCCTAAACCAAGCCCAGTCCATCGACTACAGCAACAGCCGCACAATGTCCCACGACCAACACGACCACCACACCCCGTCCCTCCCCGGCGACCCCCTCAGCACCAAAAGCCGGGTGCTGGAGACCGGCGCCAGCATGGTGCAGGACTTCGCGCCGGTCAAGAACATCTGCGCGCACCTGAACGCCTTCCACGTGTACGCCTCGGACAAGACGCGCTGCGTGGAGGCGAACCACTACTGTTCGCATATCACGGAGGGTGAGTCTGCCTGCCCCCGGGGCCTTCACAAACCCCAGAACTTCCCCATCCTACCACCCCCAGCATCCCCCAAAACTAACCCCCTACTACCGGAAAAGATATAAGACAATGCCTCCTCTACGACAGCCCCAGCCCCACCGCCCGCCTATTGGGGGTAGAATACATGATCACGCCCAAACTCTACAACACTCTCCCCCCGGAGGAACGACGACTCTGGCACACGCACGAGTTCGAGGTCAAATCGGGGATGCTGGTCATGCCGGCGCCGGCGGGGGTGCCCCAGGCGATCTGGGAGACGGCCGAGACGGCCGAGATGCAGGACATCATCCCGCTGTACGGCAAGACGTATCATTTCTGGCAGGTGGATCGCGGAGATGCCGTGCCGATGGGGGCACCGGAGTTGATGGCGAGTTTCACGTCGGAGGAGCGCGTCAAGGTGGCGAGGGAGGGGGGCATGGAGGAGTTGTGTAAAGGGAGGGATGAGAGGTTTGGGGTCGATTGGAAGCGGAAGAGGGAAGTGAGGGAGGGGTTGCGGGAGGTGGAGGGGGGTTTGCATCCTGGTGAGTTTTATTCCTTCGGTGCGGGGGGGGGTGTGGCACGCTGGCTAACTGGGTGTGCTTTGAGTAGATGCGGATGCGATGTGGGAGGAGTGACAGGATTCCTACGGGTTTTACAAGATGAGAGAATGTGCAAAGATAATGAATGTGACTTCGATTCTTCTAACAGAATTTACGATAATGATATGATTGTCTCCCGTCGTTACCACCCAACCGCCCATTCCCATAGTTAAATGGGGTCCTGGTCGGGCTATCGTTCAGGGAAGTCCCCCACCCCGTAGGGTGAGAAACTGTACAATTCATCTTGCTTCACTGTCCACACTCACGCGCTCTGGTGTTGAATTTCGGCAGCGGTGAGCTCTAGCAATTTTAGAAGCGGAACTACTTAGTTCAAGATGTAGCTGTAGCAGGTCAATGCAGCATTAAGCATTGAACCGGCAAAGCCGAGTGCGAGGCAAATGGTCAATCGACTCAATTGTCGAATCTTGCATGACAGCGGAAAGGAAAGAAAAAAAAGTTCGAAGAGTGTGCGAAAGCTACCCGCTCTTTATATACCCGGTAAGTCACGTGCCCCATCACCCATCCCCTCCCCTCCGCTCCGGCGCGGGACCCTCCTCCGTCCGCTGTCCGTAGTACAATACAGAGCAGTAGAACACCATACAGTATACCCACCACTCACCTCTCGCAAACACACCTTGGGGCAAAGGCAGAGGCAGGCAGCACAATGGACCGCCTCCTCCGCGCGACCCTGAAACGCAGCACCCCCGCGCACGTCTTCCGCCTCACGCTCAACGGGCTGGGCCTGTTCTGCGCCTGCACCCTGGTCTGGGAGCACCTGGTGACCGTGCAGCTGAGCGAGGGCCCCTCGATGTACCCGACCTTCCAACCGCGCGGCGACTACCTGCTGATCTCGCGCGTGCACCGCCACGGCCGCGGCGTCGCCGTCGGCGACGTCGTGCGCTTCTACCACCCCTCCTTCCTGGGAGTCAACGGCGCCAAGCGCGTGATCGGGCTACCGGGGGATCTGGTCTGTCGGGATCTGCCGTTTAGTACGGAGGCTGGGGGGACGGGCGAGATGATTCGGGTGAGTTTTTGTTCGGGGGGGGGGGGGGGGCAATGGGCTTCCTGCTAACGCTTCGTCCGTGTAGGTACCCGAAGGACATGTCTATCTCGCCGGTGATAATCTCCCCTGGTCGAGAGACTCGCGAAATTACGGACCCATCCCCATGGGGTTGATTAATGGCAAGATTGTCGCGAGGGTGTGGCCCCCTTCGCGGATGATGTGGGTGGAAAATACGTTGAAGCCGGCGCAGTTGGATTGAAAGGAGGATTGAAGTGAAGGAACGCACTGTACAACTTTTCTACAAGCATGGCTGGAGTCTGGAGTTGGGAAGGAAATTTGTGCATATTCATACATAAAGCTCTCTTGTACAATACAACACCCGAAACAAAACCAAGAAAATCACCGCATGTTGGCCGGGTTGCGGCGCTTGTAAGGAAGACGCTCGGCAGGCGCCCGGCGGAGCTCGATCTCGGCATCGGCATACCCGATCGACTTCATCACCTCATACATTGAGTCGTCCCACTGGGTGCGGAACAGGTGCGCGCCGATGGGCTTCAGCTGGTACCGGGACTCCAGGGCGCGGGCCAGCAGGTTCTCGCGCGCCGTCTCCTTGGCCTTGACGGCCGCGAAGTCCAAGGGCTTCGACTCCTTCTGCTCGAAGATGATCATCGCCAGACGGTGGTAGGGGCTGCCCTTCTGGGCCACCGGGGGCGCCCACGGGAAGACCACCTGCGACTCGGTCGACAGCTGCGACAGATCCACCTTGGTGTTTACCGCGGAGATCGGCACGTTGACGGCCAGGTAGTGCATCTTGAAATCGAACCCGTCCGTCTCGACGTTGGGCACGTCGGGGTCGACGACGGCGATGGTCACCAGCTTCTCGCCGGCCTCAAACATCTGCACGTTCAGCTTGGGCGCCTCCGTGCTCAGCTTCGAGTCGACAAACTCGCCCGGCTGGATCTGCCGGCGGCCAAAGTAGAGCTTCGTGTCCAGGGTGGGTTCGCAGTGCGGGATGACATCCGGGATCACCTTCATCTGTGTGATTCTTTGCACGAGAATCTTGCGGCGGTACTCTCGCCATTTGCGGTCGGCCAGGAATCGGTAGATGGGCTTGCTCATGTCACCTGCAACAAACAACAGCGGCCCAATTAGTCTAGCGGAAACGACAACAACCTGAACCAAAAATTCTCACCTAGTCCATCCTCAAACTTCTTCTTCACCAGCGGGTCGTTGATATCCGCCTGGATCTTCAGGTGCTCCAGGTGCAGCTCCATGGCCCGCAGCTTGGACTTCTTCACCTGCTCTCCGCCGGCTTGCTCGGTTGACAAACCCTCGAGCCTCGAGATCTTCTCCCGCATCGATGTGATGTCGCGTAGCTTCTCCTCGCGGTCCGCCACCAGGATCTTCCGGGCCTCCTGGAAACATTGGTAGGGCAGCTGCTCGAAGGGGATGTTGAGAGAATCCTGGAGGGCCACGCGACGACGACGGGATCCGATCGGGGCGACACCCTGGCGCAATAGCTTCCGCTCCAGTCGGGGGTGGGAGACCGTAGCCGGATCGGGGGCCTTGTAGAAGGGTTGCGACCTGGTCTCGGTCTGAGCCTCTTCGCGCGCCAGAGCGGTCGATTGGAAGGCGCGGGTGGACTGCAGCTGGAGACCTGGAAGACCCTTGGTGTAGGTCTTCTGCAGGCATTGGAGCAAGGGCTTCGAAGCCCGCTCACAATGGGCCATCTTGAGGGATAAGATGAGGGTGAAATTTAGGGAATTTAAGAGGGGAGAGGGAAGGAAGAGGAGGAGCTGGTGGTGGTGTGGGTGGTGATAAGAGACAACAGGAAGGATTTCCCCAGGTCAAGCCGGCACTGCAAAGTCGAGAGGTTTCCTTTCCTGGCCGGACGGAACTTTTTTCGTCGGGTGTGGCCAAGCCTCAAGGCGGTTTAGTGCCAGAACCACCCGAACTTTTGCTGTTGCTTCTCCCCCTCTACCCTCCGCCCGCGACCAACCCTGCGATCGTTTGTCCTCCGTTCAGGTTGATCCTCCAAAGGACTTTCTTGCTATTTGTCATCTACAATGGCTGGAAGTGACGCTCTTCGCGCCCTCCTGCGGCTCACTCGCAGCTCGGGGGGTCTGCTCTCCGGGGCTGAGACAACCACGGTAGGCCGGCCTAATTTCTTCCTTGGTCTAACTCGATGTCATTGAAGATCCAACGAAAGACGTATAATTCATAACGCACGCATACTGACAACTTTCTTTCTCACTGATAGCAACGATGCCTGACCAAGTCTCTGTCCCGTTCGATGGCCACCGAGGCCACCGAGGCCACCGCCCCCATTGACCACCTGACGCGAGAGGTCCCCAAGCCCGTATGGAACCCCGAGCCGGTCAAGGCCACCACCTACTCGTTCCCTTCGATGGAACCCCTGCGCTTCGTCGAATACCCCCGCAACCACCTGTCCATGGCCCTCCGCAAAGACATCCTGCACCGCGCCGTCATCTACGAGGGTGACGCGACCCGACAAGGTACCGCCAGCACCAAGTGGAGGAAAGATGTGTACGGCAGCAACAAGAAGCTGTTCGCCCAGAAGGGTACCGGTAGAGCGCGTGCCGGTGACAAGAAGTCCCCCATCCGGAAGGGAGGAGGTGTCGCCTTCGGTCCTCATCCGCGGGACTTCTCGACGGACCTGCCCCGGAAGATCTACGACCAGGCCTGGCGGATAGCCCTCAGCTACCGCTACAAGCGGGGCCAGCTCATCATCATCGACAACGAGATGGCGCTGCCGGAGGACGCCACCCCTTACCTGGTCCAGCAGATCTTCAAGACCAACTGCTGGGGTCGGGAGTTTGGCCGGTCGACGTTGATCACGGACCGGGTGAACGATAACCTCTTCGGTCTGGTGCGCGAGGTGGGCGAGCATGCGAAGATCCTGGACCGTCGCGACGTGGATGTCAAGGATCTACTGGAGACGGGCCGTCTGGTCATCGAGAAGCAGGCGTTGGACCGCATCCTGGCCCAACATTCGAGGGACTTGCAGAACGAGCCCAGGCGGGCCTTGTATTGAATTGCAGTTTAGTTGGCGATGGGGATTTTTCTTTGTGTTTGTTTGTTCGGTATGGGTGTGATTTTGCTTTCTAACCGAGATACGGTTTCTCTGATTGTACAAATAGAATTGAGCAATGTGTATGATGGGTCCTAAATCTGTTCGTTTCAATTATCCTACGTGCGTATCATGCTATGGAGTGTAGGTGTAGGTGTAGGTAGTGATGGTGGTATCAGAGGTGCTGATGGATGCTTTGAATCGGAGCCATTGCGTCCGAAATGTCTGTAAAAGAGACAACCCAATGAACTTTACTAGACAAACTAAACCATAGTCGAGACGAATTCAATCAAAATCAAGAAAATCACGGCAATCTGTTGCCGTTAGGCGATTGCGCCGCGGCTGGCCGGCGAGGAAAATCATGGGCGCGAAAAAAACTCCGAGGTCAATTGCAAAGCGGAGAACCCGAACGAAAGCTGCCTCTCCTCCTCCTATTGAATCATCTCAAAGGACCCAAACTCCCCCTCCCGAGTCCCTCCAGTCCCTCCCCTCTCTTTCCCCCTCCTCCTTTCCTTTAGTCCACTTCTCCTCCCCCTTAAATACCGGCTGTGGTCTGCCTCATGTTGGTCCGACACAGTGCTTGCCGGTTTTCAACGCCGTCGAGCTGGATCTCGCGGCTTTCACCAGCCACCACCATGCCTCTCCGCGCAAAAGTCACCAACCGAGCCTTCACGGCTTCTGCTACCAATGTACGCTCAGTCAATTGTTCTTAATCGAGCTTTGGATGCTAATCGATTCCAGATGGAAAGCGCTCCCATCCCCGCAGAGGACGACGTTCTATTCAGCTCTCTCTACGGCGTGCGGCTGATCGAGCTCAACCGCCCCGAGAAGCTCAATGCCTTGAACTGGTCGATGGTCAACAAAATCACCCCTCGCCTGCAGGTAAGCGAGTGTCCCTCCGATTCGATTCTCCCTTCAAGCGGCCCTTTGGCGGGTACTAACAAGCTTGAACGATCGAATAGGAATACAAGAAGTCTCAGCTTGCCAACGTGATCATGGTGGCCGGAGCCGGCGACAAAGCGATGTGCGCCGGTGGAGATGTTGTTGGCTTGGCCAAGCAGAACAGAGAGAGTGAGGAGGGGCCGAAAAGATCCAGCGAGTTCTTCGGCGAAGAATACAAGCTCGACCACCTCATCGCCACCTACCCCAAGCCCTTCATCTCCGTGATGGACGGCATCACCATGGGCGGCGGGGTGGGCCTCAGCGCCCACGCGCCGTTCCGCATTGCCACCGAACGCACCGTCTTCGCCATGCCCGAGACCAACATCGGCTTCTTCCCGGACGTGGGCGCCTCGTTCTTCCTGCCCCGGCTGGACGGCGAGCTGGGCACCTACCTGGCTCTGACCTCGGAGCAACTGCGGGGGCCCCAGGTCCTGTTCGCCGGCATCGCCACGCACTACCTGGACTCGAGCATGCTCGGCAAGCTGACGCAGCGTCTGTCCGAGCTGGTGTTCCAGGACTACGCCACGCTGTCGGAGCGCCTGGACCTGGTCAACAGCACCATTGCAGAGTTCTCGACGGGCCTGCCGGAGTCGACCAAGGTAGAGCTCGGCGGCTCGAAGCGGGAGGCCATCGACCGCTGTTTCGGCCACAACACGGTTGAAGGGATCATCGAGGCCCTGCAGCGGACGAAAACCGGGTGGGCCGAGCACACCCTGAAGACGCTGGCGAAGCGCTCGCCCACCTCCCTCAAGGTCGCGCTGCGCCAGATGCGCGTCGGCAAGGAGTGGTCCATCTCTGAGGCCTTCCAGCGCGAGGCCCACATCGCCTCCCAGTTCATGCGGCACCCCGACTTCAACGAGGGCGTCGAGGCCCTTCTGGTCCACAAGCGTAGACCCAATTGGCAGCCCGCCTCCTTGGAAGAGGTCACCACCGACATGGTCGACCGCTTCTTCACGCTCCCCGAGGGCGAATCCCGCATCGAGCTGCTGAGCGAGCGCGACTACAACGACTACCCCCACCACTACGGTCTGCCCACGGAGGCGAGCATCCGGAGGTACGTCCGCGGCGAATTGAGCAAGAAGGATGACCCGATCGAGCACTTTGTCGGTCTGACTGGCGGCAAACCGGGTGTGCGCGAGAAGGTGACCGAGGTTCTGAGAAGAAAGGCCCACCGGAGCAAGGATGGCGTCTGGCTCTGGAAATAGAAAGAGTGGAATCTTGAAAGAAAGCACTGAAAAGGGAGTAATTATGTAGCACCGGTCTGGGATTGTGTATAGTTATATGTATGTGATTGGGAGTTTCTTTTGTTGCGGACTGAATATTCATGTGGACTGTGATTGATACAGTTAGACTTAAAGTTTCTACTTGATGGTGTTGGTTTGCGTCTGTAGCTCTAGAACTGTAGGGCAGTTTGATAATCACGGAGTAGATAGAGTGCATGTTGGGGTTTGCTCTTGTGTACTATACTTCAACTGTGTACGTCTCCGTCTACAAATGCACGCACATATTCTACATGAAAGAGACAACCACCAAGCCACACCACCACCTACACCTACACACTGAATCACAATAACAACGCCCAGCCATCAGACGTATCCAACCATCCATCCATTATATATCCTAATTTTTATCCCCCAGATCACCAAAAGCCAGAAATCTATTGCCCCCCGGCCCCAACATACTCCGCCATCGCCTTCACCGCCCCCTCCAACCGTCCCCGCTCAATCAAAATCAAACTCCCCTTCGTCCGGATCCCCAACTCCTGGAACGCGCGCTTGGAGTCGGAATGCCCATCATCCTGCTTCCGGGAGTACTCGAACGAGCCCGCGCAGAGGGCGTGCTTCTCGAGCACCTCATCCTCGGGGTGGAAGAAGAACCGATCCGTTTTTGCCGCTGAAGATTTCTTCCCCTTCTTCGTGGGCCGGGACTCCTCCATGTCCAGCTTGGACTGCACCTCCTCGTAGGTCTTAGAGAGGAGGAGGTAGTGCGAGAAGTCGAAGGGCTCGTTGTCGGCGACCGCGTGGGCGATCTCCTGCTGCAGCATCGTGTACATGGGCGGGACGACCTCGGCGGGCATGTTGATGAGGCGCTCGGTGAGGATGAGGCCGATTTTTTGGGGCGCAGAGAGAAGAGGGACGAGGGGGCTGAGGGCCGGGTTGGTGGTGGCTTTTTGGTGCAGGTAGCGCGTTAGGGATTGGATTATGGGTTTGTCCTTTGATTTGGGGGATTAGTATTGGTTGTGGTGGAAGGCTTGAGGGGGTGCAGGGGCAACTGACTTTATGTTCTTGGAGGTTGAGCACCGTTAGGAAGGCGTAGGGGTCGGATTCCTTGCCATCGGTCTTAATGGTCGAGCCCATCCAGGCTTGCGAGAGGATCAGATCGGATAGGGCCGACATGTCGAGGTCTTGAGCGTCGTTGTCGAAGAGTTGGCGTAGAAGGTTCTTGAGGCCGTGGAAGTCGACTTCCGGGTCGGGGTCGAACCATTCAAAGTCTACGTTGACCATGTCGATGTCCTTTGCGAGTCCATTGAGTTAGTTTGGTTGTGTCTTCTTTCTTGAGGGGGTATTCTGAAATAGTGGTGTGGGCGCAAACAAACCTCGTCGGAGTCGGAGTCGTTCTCGACACGGGGATCTGTACCCCCCATGTCGACGTCGGTGTCTTTGATTTCCTTGCGCTTGACCATTGTGTCTGTCTCCTTTGTGTTTGTGTTTGTGTGGAGTGGGAATGAATGTATGCAGAGGAGAATCGATCGTACAGTAGTAGTTAAGGCGGAGCGAAACAAAAAGTTGCTCGGAGCCCGGCCGCGGGTCCCCTACTAACCGCTTTGGTTCATTATCGATAGACAGTGTCTTATCGCCGATAACCACAACTTATCGCTGGCTTCAATTTGTGGATGCCTTAGGATCTTTACGAGGTCTTGGTGTGCTTCGTGTCCGGTACACACAGCCTGTCTCTCTTTGAGATAATGGTTTATTGTTCCAGCTTTGCGGGTTCATTCCACCTGATACTATGCACTCGATGCTATGCACTCGACGCTATGTGCACTTCTACTGCGCACAGTCCGCCGAGGCGGAGTTTCAGCATTGTGTTCTCAAGCAGTCGACACACCAACACGCACCAACGCTGGAGCTCATGCTTGGAAGTGACAGCTGTGTGATTGAATGCTTAAAAGACTCGTTCATGAGGCACTTCGATCGTACGTATGGTGCTTTCCATCTAAGGAGAAACCAACAACAAGATCACTGAGATGGTGATCTTGCAGATACCATTGGGCGGTCATGGACAGCTTCATTGGCAGCCCAACAAGTGACGACAACAGAGTGTGAAGATAGATTGCTTGAGGACGAGCAAATCTAACGAGATAAGCTCCATCATGCAATGTGGAATAATGGATAGACTTCTTGGACACCGACCTCCGGAGCAAAGAGCTCCTAAACCACCACCCATGATATCAGAGCATATCACCTTGTCTACGGAGGGATCAACAATTGAACATGAACAATTGAACAAGAGGCCAGTCACGCCCACATTAACCACAAACGGGGCATGAGTAAGCCCAAAGATCCGATCCAGGATCGATCACTCGCTCCATCAATTTCCCCTGGTCGTGGACTCGGAAAAGATTCCAATCGAAACCCGCCGAGACTGACCGGGACCAGCCAGGGTCCAATCAATGCCGTCAACTACAACTGGAGGGAAGGAGAGAGACGTCGATTATGCAACAAGCTATTGGGTAATTTGCCCAAGAAAAGAGCAGCAGCACTACATCATCCATCATCAGCACGCAACAGAGAGCGAAAAAAAAAGCGGTTTTGGCACCGAGCAGAAAGTGGGTGCGGTGCGTTCCCCACCGGGGTATGATCTCAGCGACACTCCCCCATGACATCACCAACTGGCTCATCCTACCCTCGACAGAGGTCTATAAAGTGGCCTGCACAGCACATTTTCATCCATTCAGTCAGACAACACACTTGCGATCACAACATCCATCCCATCAACCTGAAACAATACCTCTATCTTCCTTAATAACCACAAACACAACACAACAAACCATCATGTCTACCTCCGGATCCGGTCAGTCCAGCGTCGGCAACCGCGCCATCTACGAGGCCGGTGACCAGCGCAACGTCCCCCAGGCCGAGTTGAACGAGCGTACCCGCTACGCCGAGGGCCAGACTCACAGCCACAAGAACCTTGACTCCAGTACGTGTCCCTCTGCTCCCCTTCCCCCTCTCCTCCCGGACCGACATCCTAACCCTGTACCACTGCAGAGGACCAACGCTCCATCGCCAACAAGCTCGCCTCCCAAGAGAACAAGCCCGAGAGCGACCACCACCACAACTTCACCAAGGACCCCGAGGCCGAGCTCAGCAAGCAGGACCCCACGAAGCCTGTACGTTTTCGCCCCCTTGCCCGCTTGCCCCGTAATCCAGGAAAACTAACCTCAACCCCCCAAGGCCAAGCTCCACGGCAACAAGCCCTCCAAGGGCGCCCAGATCGACGCCGAACTCAAGGCCGAGGACGAGCAGAGACTCAAGGAGAAGGGCATCAAGCACTAGATTCTGAAAATAATGCCTGAAGCTGGACTTTATGTATAATATTCTGGTTGGAATTCGGTGTTATTTCATCAGTTAAAGATATGTGATGACGATTTCTTTTTTGAATGATGATTGATTTGGATATGCAATGATAAGGTTTCTGGGCTTTGTAGTGTCTGGTGTAGAGTGGTCTGAGGTTTTGGATTGGCTTTAAGAGTTGTGCGTGGGGGGTGGGGGTCCCTTGATATATGTTGGCACTATTCTGCTAGCATCTATCATGAAGAGGATGAGCCATGCCCTAAGACAAGATCGTGGGATAGAAGGTATCATGAATGAAGATTATACAAAATATGCATCAGTGTAGAATCGTAACTAAACGTAAGATGTACACAACGATCCGTCCCGAACCGCTGTCATTCATAACGCATATCCGTCAGATCGAAGAGAAGAAAAAACAACAACTGTTTGTGGTATCAACTTTCAGCGAAAACAGGATCAGGCGCTCATCAACCAAACTTGGGATCATCGTCGTGCGGCTCGGCAAAGACATTACCCCAGTAGGCCTCGACCTTCTCGCAGATCTCGTCCTTGCGCTCCCACGTCCAGAAGCTGATGGCGGGGTCGCAGCTGACGTTCCTGATCTCCGCCCAGTAGGCGCGCTCGACGTCGTAGCGGAACCGCTGGACGGTGTCCTCGGGGACGAGCCAGGCGCGGCCGTCGGAGCCGTCGGCGCGCAGCGTGGGCGCCGTCTCCCACTTCATGCCGAACACCTTCTCGCCCGGGTTGAACTTGGGGTAGTTGGCGTGGATGAAGAAGGCCGGGGGCGCGGGGGCCACCGCGGGGTCCTGCACGCGCCACTGGCCCGCGCTCGTCAGCGCGTGGTCCGCGATCGGGTCCGTCTGCACCATCGCCGACCCGGAGATCCCGCCGCCCGGTTTGGCGTGCCCGACCGCCTGCACCCGCTCGCTGACCGCGTAGAACGGCTCGCCCACGGCGGTGGCTGCCTGCACGAAGGTCTCCTTGTCGCCCTCGCCCGGCGCCCCCTGCGATAGCAGCCGGAAGTAGTGCGACGGGCCGTAGTAGTTGTAGTACGCGGCCAGGAGCAGGGTCATCTGGTGCGTCTTCTTTGAGACCAAAAACGCCCCAGCCTCCGACGAGGCGCGCGCCGACATGGGCGGCATCGCTTGCCGCGAGATGTTGTAATAGAGCGGCGACGCGGTCATCGCCCAGAAGTCCGGCCACGTCACCAGCCCCGCCGACTTGAAGGGCTCCGCGTCCAGCAGCACCTCGGGCTTGGTCAGCGGGAAGCAGTCGGCGTCCATCCAGATGACCTCCTCGAAGGAGGAGAACAGTACCGCGAAGATCTTGAGCTGGTAGTGCTCGATGGCGTTCTTGCCGACCACGTCCGAGAGCACCAGGCACCGTGCGCCCAGGTCGGGGAGGATGTCATCGCAGATCTGCTTTTCGTACTCGTCGGTGTCCTTCATGTATACTTCCACCGGCAATGTTGAGCCCAAGCGTCGGAGCATCCGCAGCGATGACAGAAACACGGGGAAGTAGGTTCCCCCCGCCGTCGAAACCACGCCGCGAGTGCCGGGCGAGTGGACGGGTCGCAGTTTCTCGGCTGTCCGACACGCCTCGATGTAGCGTGCATGCGCCTCCTCCATGGTATGTAGGTCCTTTTCTTCGAGGGTTGTCAAGTCGGGGCGAGGGTCGGTGGACGTGGCGTCGAAGCCGACGGCGCCGGCATCGTTGGTGTGCCCAGGCGATGGGCAGTTTGGTCCACTCTCTTCGAGGATCGGTTTCAAGACCTTCCAGAATGCATTTTGGCGTTCGACTAGAGGGACCTCGAAGACCGTACTGGGGACTACCGACGCTGGCGGGGGTGCCCAGTATACATAAACGGTGCAGATGAGGAGTAAGGCGCCGGTGGCCGTGATGAAAGATTTCAGTCTACCCGGTCGAAGGATCGGCATCTTGGTATCTGAGACCGCGTCTCAATCGAGAGGTTCGCCGGCTAGCAGTCTTCACGAAGGCAATTCGTTTCTTGGTTGGTCTCGTTTCGTCGATCGCAAGGTTTGTCCAGTGGGTACGGGGAGACACTGGAAGTATCATTCAATAGCAGGTAGTCGTGCAGTGCATTCAAGCAGGGGCCAACATGATAGGCGAATTTGGGAATAGGGGGTTGTGTAGGAAGGATTGGCGGCGATGTTGTTCTCCCAGGAGAGATGCGAATCACGGCCTGGATTATTATCGGGCTCTGGAAGGCCTCAAACGCTGATCGATCGGAAGGATAGTGGGTGGATAAAGTCAGACTGGGGATAGTCGGACACTTGCAGCCATACAGCTAGCACTTTTTCAAGTTATGAATGTCGGTCTCAATTGACCTCGACGCCGTCGAAGTAGAATCCATGGTTGGCAAATGGATGGCGATCATCGAGAGATGCGCTCCCCTTGGGTAGGCGGTGGCAGAATTCAGGACTTACGTTGCGCACCACTATAAATAACAACGTCTACGAGTCATTGTAGTCTGGAGATAGTCATTGGTGGATGTTCTTTTTTGTGCTTGCTGACTCAAGGAATCTCATTCTGCAAAAGTCTTGCAGCCCAATGGGAAAGAAATGCTCGTGCAATTATCGGACGACTTTGAACACAGGCTAAGAAGGCCTGTGGATAGCAACAGTATCAATCATATAGTGCAGCCACGGCTCCCGGAGGAGAGGTTTGAGTTGGGACGGTCTCTCATGGCTCCGAGTTAAGTCCTACATCCGAGAATCGACAATGGGACCGTTGAGGAACTGCACAAATAAAATGGATACTCCAAGGATGATCGATTTCGACCGAGAAATGTAGAAGTGTAGAAGATTGCCCCAAAGGAGTAATAGATTTAGGAAGGCCGGCCAGACCCGAATCCAGCCCGGTGGAAACATGTGCCGCACTAGTCCCTGTTGGGTCTCTTTCCCCCCCCTCCCTCCCCAACTTTCCTTCTCGCAGCCTCGCTCATGCATTATTCATCATACCTCCTATTCCTCAATTGTCTTCCTCTACTCAAGCTTCAACCATGGTCCAAGATCAACCGGCGGGGACCTTGAAATGGAGCCTACAGCTAGAGGCAATTTTAATTTGACGAATACACAGTTTCTCTCACCGTGTGCTAAGCATACTAAGAAGTTAATAAGTCAGTAAATTTAATCTCCGGGTCGGCATCTCCAACGGCGGATGATACCGCAACGATCGCCGCTTCTGCCCTTGACTGCCCGTCCACCTTTCCAGGACCCATTGCAAGCTAGAATGAGGGCCTAATGGGGGTCATCTCTGATATGTTTGTGTGATAAAACCTCGAACCGTCCAACTTCACTTCTCCCAGTCACCTCGATCCCTTGTCGATTTCGGTGTAGAAGCTTCGACGGTGTTGCTACCACTACTCCTCCCATCCTGCCACCGTCGACTTGACCACGCGATTAACCTACTGCCTTGCTTGATCTATCATCCATGGGACCCCGCACCCCGGGTCACCTCCACTTGGCTTGTCTGAGCTTGTTCCTGCTTACCTCTCCTCCAGTCCACGATTTGTAGTCGGCTTGGTGATGGAACCTCTGCCAACGGGGCAGGGGCGCAAATCGCCGCCGGTCTCCGCCGCACCTCCGCGGAAAAGACGGAAGAGAACAGTCATCAGCCAGGCAGCCGATGACTGTTTTACCTGTGCTCGACAGGCAAGTCAATGCGATCGGAGACGACCATACTGCTCCCAATGCTTGGACAATGGCCGCGATTGTGCCGGCTATAAGACCACTTTGACGTGGGGAGTCGGGGTGGCCAGTCGGGGAAAGCTTCGAGGACTATCCCTGCCTGTGACTGGGGCTCAGCCAGCTGCAGCCTCATCGCAGCCTCGTGCGACAGCCGCGTCGAGGGTATCCCAGTCGACAGACTCCAGGGCATCGGAGTTGCCTGCGCATACAAGACCACTCTCTACGTTAGACTCGTCGGAGGTCGGTCGCACACCTTCTAACCCGAGGATACGTCCTAGGCCAGACTTACCTGCGAATCAGTTGCCACCGCATTCGAGTCCGGTGTCATCTGTTAACCAAACCACTTCCAATCGTTCGCTACCTCGTTCAGAATCACTACCCGTGTCATCCTGCCATCACGCGACGACTTCTCCTTCGTTGGCTCCTTCGAGATGGGCAATGCCGATATGGCCAGCCTCAATACAGACTTCAATACCAATTGCAAAAGCCAGGGATGATCCGGGTGTCGAAGAAGAAGCCGTACCGCGGTCAGAGCAGAGTGGTCAGGACAGGACTCCTTGGGTCGTTGAATGTCATGCGCCATCCTTATCTCAGCAGCTACTAGCGCGCTCAATCGGACGAACACCGCGCCTGCGATTCCTGATTAGCTATTATGCTGAAGTGATTGCGCCAATGATCGTTGCTTTTGATGGGCCGACCAATCCATTCCGCACGTACGTTCTGCGATTAGCGCAAGAAAGCGCATCGCTCCAAGAAGCCATAGCAACTCTGTCTCTTTGCAATATGCGCCAGAGACGAGAACGGGGCACAAGGTCTACCGAGCGTACCCTGCCCGCACGAATGTCATCATTGGCTCACCAGGCTTTGACGGAGGCGTCCTTGAGCACCCAGGCTGGTATTGACGCACCCAAAGTCTCGGCGCGCGAGGAGCATCTTCACAGAAGTATGGCGGTCAAGGCGTTGAATGGAGAATTGGCCGATCCGCGACAACGGCTATCGGACTCGGTGCTTGCGACTTTACTCGTCTTATGCCTCTTCCATGGGTGTGACACGGGGGTCGCGCAATTCAAAACCCAATTCGCTGGTGTGACCAAGTTGCTGGCCATTCGGCTGTGCAACGGCGCCGCCCATGTGACCGAAGAACTGAAATGGTTTATTCGCATGTTCACCTGGCTCGACACTATGACAGCCACTACGAACGACCGGGACATCCAACTTCGCGGCGCTTGTTTGGACATAACTGCAATTTCGGATGGCGAATGGGGGCTTGAAAATCTGGCTGGATGTAATGCCAGCCTGTTCAAACTCATTGCGCAGCTTGGTCGCCTGAATCTCCTCAGTCGAAGCCGAGATACGCAGACCTCGGCATCTCCTGATGTCCATGCCCCCTCAACCACCGTTCCTCCCCATATCGCGTACAGCTCCATGGGTACACCGGGTATGCCTTCCGAGTCGTTTACGAGATTCATACCTCCTCAGGAGGGAGACTCTGGCTCAACTCCGACTTCTCCGATGTTCTGGGCCGAATGGCACTGCCTGCGGCAGAAGCTTGAATCGTGGAGGTTTGACACGGGGCGGCGACAATCATCATCTCCTCATCATGCGACGACCTACATCTCGCCACCGTCATCTCCTCCGAGCCAATCCAGGGTGGCGCCGCAACACCTGGACGATGTGATTCATATTTCAGAATCATTTCGCCACGCCGCGATCCTCTACAGCGAGCGACTTGCTCATCCCGATCTGCCGTCTGGCCATCCTCGTATCCAGCGTATTGTGCAACGGACAATGACTCACATTCTGGCCGTCCAGTGTGATGCGTATCTCCTGTGGCCGCTGTTCATCACGGGCTCCGAGTGCGTGCTGTCCAGCCACCGGGCGATCATCCGGGAGCGGTGTCTGTATCTCTCCAAGGATTCCGGGTTCATCAACAATCTGACCTGTCTGGAGCTCCTGGAAAAGATATGGGCGGGAAGTCCTCCCGCGTCCGAGACTGGGGATCCCTACGACCGCGGCGCAGCAGCAGGTCTCGGCAGCCAGGACCTGAAGTCAAACGCGGGCGTGGCGGACGATATGAGCCCTGGCGCCTTGGGCGGCTGGAGTGGTCTCTCTGCGGAGGTTCCGACGTCTCCCTCGCGCAGACAGGGATTCCGGTGGCACGAGGTGATGCAGGTCAAACGGGAGGAAGGCGAATATATGATCGTGTAACAGTGATGTGTTTCTGGGCTGTTCTTGGGCCGTCGATGCCGATGCCTGCCTGGGAAATAGACGGGGTACGTGAACATGGCTTGATGATGGATAACGGTCTCGTTTGTAGAGTATAGATGACTTGGACTTTTGTTCATCCTGTACATAGTACCCAGACAGTAGATACCTAGGATGCGTGTACATACATATGACCCATACAGGAAACACCCTCAATGCGTGTAGGATGTGATTGCTTTCCCCCAGGTCAACACAAGTGACAAACAGGAGCGTCACATGTGATTCTGATTGCGTAGCCCGTCCAACACCACACAAACAACAATCCCACGATCTAGAGTCCGACAGACCCGAGACAGCGCCGGGATCTGATGTCTCAGGTAGTAGGTATTCCCACCGAGAAGACACCTCTTTCTGTCTATCCTTCTACCATCCTGTCCAGCAACGCACTAGACAGCTGCCCACCAAGATGTCCACCTACCGATCCACGAAGTAGACTTCAGCTACACCATGCTCTCCACCATGCTCTCCACTCAGCAAACCTATATGCCAAATCTAGAGCTAGCTCAACACAAGATCCCAACCGGCAAACTCAGAGTGACGTTAAGTGGAACCAACTAGGCATGGTACACTAATTGAACATAGCACTACAAAAGAACGGTGGGGTTGGAAACCCAATCCGGAGGGGGCACTAGGTAGTCAATACCTGCTGCCTTAGGTATACATCCAGCTGATAGTGTCGAATGTCGATAAGCTAGTACTTATCGTTGCGTAGTAGTTGTGCAGCAAATCTAACTTCCACAGCCCTACCCAGCGGTGTACAAGACCTTACCGCACATCCACCATGACAACAGACATCGAATCGACGCCCCGATATCGGGCCAGGTGTATGCAGCTAGCTAGGTGCTACCTACCCTTACCTGGAAGAAAGTATGGTTTAGGGAGCCTATTGGATGTTCAGTTACGGTACTTTGTATCCATTACTTAGTCCAAGAGCCTGGGGAGGGGAGGGAAGGGAGATTAGAAGCGGGGTTCAATCCACCTGGACTCTCAAGCCCAGTCCAGTCCAGTCCAGTTCCTCGGCCTTAGCACAGCGCCGCGCTGGCCAGTGCAGTCCATCCATGCGGCTTGGGGTGGAAGAACTGTACATACTGTAAATTAGTATCTTGACAAGATGCGTTTGACACTCGACTCTCAAGTCCGCTAGGTGATTACCCAACCCTGGAGACTAGAAGGTCATGTAGCGGAAAGAAAGGTGTCAAACACCCAGCGTCGACAAACACAGATATCCCAGGACCAAGACCAGGACCCGGGTTATAGTGATGGACCGCTAGATCCAAACGTGCGTTTCGAACTTTCTGGCCTAGTGCACAAGCCCCCTCAGTCTTTGGCTTTTGACTGTTGACTTCGCAGATGTCGGAATGTATGCAGGGAATAATGGGTATATTCGGTGCGATGGCTTGATGAGGGGATGGGGATGGGGAAGGTGAGGTGAGGGGGTCTGGACTGTTGCTTGCACGGCACGTTGAACTAGTTAGTTTTGAAGCTGGTAGCGTTGCGCGTGGGCGGGCAGCGGCTATTAGCGTAGGGCGTACTCTGTATAGCGTATCGAGACTTGGTCTTGATGATGATGCTGATGAAGTCGCTGTGTGGGAGGAGAGAGGGGAAGGCTGGGGAGGGGGTTTCTTGGGGTAAAGTATGTACTGTACCTAGTGCTAGGTGAAGTGGTTGGTTGGTTGGTTTGTTGGGTTTTTGGTAGGGTGAGTTGGATCAGATTGGGGACTACCGGAATCTATGGATACTAGGTATGAAGTTCTCAGGCTCCGTACAAGAGATTGAATCCTTAGGATTGGAGTATCTTCTGGTAAAGTTGATTGGGTTCTCGGGTTAGATAGTCTATTGCATTGAGGTGCATAAGTTAGGGTCTATGCCTACGTATTTAGGGGTTTAGTTGGAACTGTGCCGTAGGTAGGTGGGTTCTGATTGCCGCTGGATTCGAGAAGTACGATTGTGCCAATGTTTGCTGGCCTTGTTGCTGTGCCTTGTTGCTGATGTGTCCAAACATTGGAAGGTCTACGCTGTACAGTACTGTACTTGGAGGTTAATTGATGACTAGGGCTCAGGGTAAGGGCATGCATCTGTCACCCACACAATGCTACATACCTCCCTTCCCACTTATTATGGCCAGAATTCCAGTCGCGAGTGCGCGCGCGCGTGAGATCGGCATGTGGCCGGGATTCGAAGTAAACACGGCTGATGAATGGCGACGGAGGATCGCGTTTGAAACCACGACACCAAAGGAGGTGGTCTTTTGGCATCGGTCGGCTGCAGAGGAGATCTGTACACATCCGAGTGAGATACAGCCAGGGAGGCATAGCTGAGGGGGCCCTCAATAGGCTTGTCAGGTCAGATTGATAGTCCAATCAACAAGCAAATGTCGGCTGGTGTGACCTGAGAAGGAGAGACGATAGCTGAGTGGAGGTGGTCGTTGGTAATATTTGGCTGGCTGTGTACGGAGTACGCCGTATTGTATATACATTACCGTACAGACATACTTTGTAGATATTGTAGACAAACACCACCACAACAATAACAACAGTCGCAGTTCTAGATCTCCGGCTCCGGGAAACAAGCAAGGGACGGTGAAAAGTGAAAACTCTGCCGGTGGAGACCTGGGCGGTGGGTGGAGTGGGAAAAAAAGTGTTAATTTGTATTTGGCTCTGATAGTGCTCTGTGCTCTGTGAGCTGTGCCGTGTTCTTTCTTTCTTTCCAGAGAACTTCTATTTTCAGTCTGTGCTTTGATTGAATAGACGAATGCTGAATGGTTGGGAACAGTGACGGGAACTGCAGGTCACATTCGCGCTTGTGATGACCCCCTCCTTCCCCCGGTCTGACTATAAATCAGTAGTATTCGTAGTATTCCATAGTATGTAGGCGCTAGTTGGCTGCTAGCAGCTATCTTCTGGAGAGGAAATCACTGCTGCCGCCCGGGATAGATAATTCTTGAATGCATTGGGACCGTTGGCGCTGCGCAAGCCGGAGTTTCCTCTCAGTGCCCGGTGACTGACTATCTACTCCGTACTTAGTACTTAGTATACTAAATACTTCCTGAGTCGGTCAGCTCTTGTGCGCCCACCGGACCCTCATCCCGCGTCCGCGTCTCCGTTGCCCGTCCAATGGGTGGAGCCAGTGCCGCGATGGCGTTTATCGCATTCACTGATAGCGAGTAAATGTTGCAGTTGGACCCAGCAAGCGAGACAACTCTCAAAGACAAGAGACATCTCCATCTTCCTTTATCGCTCGTACCGGGACCTCTCCGTTAGACGCCACCACGTAACCATGATCACATCTGGGCTTTGACCTGCTTTTGGACCCCGAGTGCCATGTGCAACCAGACACCCAAGAGAAAAAGGGCTGCCTATCTATCTGCCAGGGGTCCTCGGACATAACTGGCTGCGCAACTCCGATTGCGTAGCGTTCTCACTCGCCCGGGGGTCAAGACTCTTAGCAGCTCTGTGCTATTGGACAGGATCTGAGCCAGTCGGGATTGATATTAAGATAGTCACTAAGCCATGGCTCGAATCATGGTGGGGCAGAAGGGAAGAAGTACTGTAAGTTACTCTTCTTGGTAGTGTAGTGCACTGTAACCTGTGATTATGCGACCCTCGTTTGCGATCCAGCCTGCATGGGGAGGGGGGGGGGGGGCGGCTCTTAGCCCTATTACATTCGCGCCTCGGCCAGGCCTGTCAGAAACCGAGGTTCTGAGTCTGGAGTACGCGGAGTACTTTGCACAGTACAACATAAGATAGGTAGTTAGTGTATGCAGTTTCCAATCGCCCCGGTTTCAACTCAGATAACTTTTCCATCCGAACTTCACACCATTTTACTTGCTTCTATTTTCTTCTCGAAAAAGAAAAACAGGAAAATCAGGGATCTGCCCGGCCGGAGAATTAATTGTGAAAGGAGGGTCCTCTTTTTTAGACTCCCGCGCTCAACTGTGCAAATTGCGGTCTGTCCAACCGTATGGGTGGTTGCTGCCCAGCTGCTGGGCGGCAGCGGTAACGCCCATTCACCATGACCAAAAAGAACTCCCAAGTTGCCCAACATTTAAACTCAACTACACTACACCACTAGTGCTCGTGGCCAAAACAGGAGATATCCATGCCATTTGGTTCCACTGGGCTGGAAATGCCTGCCTACATGGAGTTATGTATCCATGGATTGTCGACCGGTTGACGGGCTCATCCGCACCCGCTGTCCATGGAACCAAACCAACCCAAACGATAAGACACTCTACAGGAACTTACAGTAGTGGCTTCGGACTATCTCTATTTACAGCAATCAGCTAATCGGTCCCACGTACCCCAGAGGTCACTTTCGATCCTTTGCAATTATTCATTGACTTATTGATGTGACACCAAGTTATAAGACTCGGTGGTTGCGCGACAGCGTCATCTTCGCCGCAGCCTGCCTGCGGTTGAATATAGAAGCCTTGGAGCTGATGCTGAGAAGAGATGGTTGACTATTATTATCAACGCTTACTCGACGATTATGACTGAGCCACCCGTGGCAATGTGATCTCTCCATGACTCATTGACTCATTGGCATACCAGACCACTGAAGGAAGGACTATCAACTGGATCGGCTCGCCAACCCCATCGCGTTGCCTGCAGGCTCCAACGGTAGGGTAATGTACGTACATCGGATGCCATGCGGGAAATCCCCAGCCATGTTGGACGAAGCGTTCAGCCAATGACGCAGAGCGTGACTCTTATCTACAAGGTGATGAGGAATCGAACATCTCACTGTTCGCCATGTACGGCCATGTTGACGCAAATGAGTGGAGGGGCGGATTCTGCTGCGCTGCGCTGCTCTGTTGCGGCAACAAACATCTTGTTCTTCCTTCGTCTTGTTTCAGCAACGTCAATCAGGATGGGAGGGGAGAGGGGATGCCCAACAGGGAGTATCGTATGTCTACCTGGTAGCAAGTAATAGAGGGATTGTTCAGATGACTCTGTCCCCCGGGAGCCTGTCGCCATGATGAGTAAGAGTCAGCGAGTGGCATGGAGAGTGACCGCAGTGCACAATGTGGGCGGCAATTCTGCGCATTTCATTCATTCATTCATGTAATCATCCATTCCCCCCTCCTTGGAAGTGTATATAAGGGAGCAGTACTCTCCACCTGATCACCTTGGTGGGATTCTGGAAAAGAGGGTGTAGTGGGTGATGACTCTGGAAATGAGCTGGAAGGTGATCAGCTTCTTCTTCTCATAGCAACAGCAGCAGCAGCAGCAGCAGCAAATTCTAAAACCCAGTGCAGCATCACTCTGGTTTCAGTTTGGTGTTTCTTCCCCCCCTCCCCTTCCTTTCCATTTCCTCCCTTTCTCTCCCTCCCTCTTGGGAGTGGGAGTTGTTGGGCCTGAAACGCGCCCAAGGCACCCATCCCTCCCTCCATCATCACCACCACCACCACATAAGATACGGTATTGTAAAGCCGAGAACGAAACGGGAACGAACGCGAGAGGTCACTTTTTGCTGCCTCCACCCCCAAAGCGAGACTAAGACACTAAAGACTAGTGGCTCCGCCGCAAGAAAATTACCACTTGGTGCAGCCCCCACTTGCAAGTCCACCAAGTCCACCCTTGCAATTCTGTCCCGTGGTTACAAAACCGGTTGTCTCCTCCATTCCCTCAGGGCTCCCCCCTTCGAATCATTTATCCATCCACCCACCACTCATACACCCTGTTCGGGTTCAACCTCTACAACTACAACTACTACAACAATAATCTGGGTTAGATGAACGAAGTCTAAGCGATTCAAGCGAGTCTCAACCGCAGTTTGCGCTTGTTCGCCACTCTTGTCGCGGACTCCGATAGAGTCTTCTAGGGACCACAGGTTGCTTCTCTGCATAGCCGCCTTCAACAACTTCGCCCGTTCAGCGTTCGATAGAGCGAACGACGTTCAAATGCACTCTCGGCACATACAGCTCTATCCCTCCTCTCCCTCAGAAACCGCACCACGGTGACGGTTCTCTCCCATCAATCTTCCGATTTCGTTGTCCCCTGCTTCGGCGTCGATCGGCTTGTTGCTACGATATCCTGTATAATATATCTGGGTTGTGCTGTTTCTGTTCTTGCCTTTAATATCTCGCGATCGGAAGGTTACTCCCTACGTTCGAAAAGTTCTCTCGTCCACGACCTGTTTTTGATTGCCAGCGTGATTCGAATTCCTATGCACGTTTCTCGATAATGTATCACTACACCACTCCACCTCCCGGGTGGTCCTACGACTATACGACCTCTCCTCCCACGTCTCCTCACTACGCCTACTACGCCTCCCCCTTCGCCAATGCTTACGGCTCGCCGCGCGGTCCTTCAAAGCGTCACAACCGCAAAGCCAGCTACGCCGGTCCCAAAGAAACCGCCGGATGGTATGCTGGGTATGGGCAAGGGTTCTACGAAGCGATGCCAGAATATGGCACGCCACCGCGCAAGCACGATCCTGTAAGTGCTTCTTTTGGTGGCTATTCTCGTCGTCGCAGCACCATGTCCGGGGCCCCAGCGGCGGGCCCCTGGGAACATGCCGGCGCCCACCCGTCGCACCCGTCGCACACCCGGCCCATTTTCGTGGATGTGGTCGACGATGGATCCGATGGTGATGCGCCGCGATACGTCTTCCGCGAGGAACCCAGTCCTCCGCGTCGCAAACCGTCGACGTCTCACCGCAAGCCCAAGCCACCCACTGATCAATATTTCTACTATAATCAGGTGCCTGCCCATGAAGATGCTGATGCGGCCAAGCGATCTCGGGCGCGCCGTCAATCCACTTCCACCCGCACGCCCAGCAAGCCAAAGCCGTCCACTCCCACCTCCAAGCCGGCCCCCAAAGCCACAGAAGCCGACGCTGCCCGAGAAGGGATCCCCCCGGGCTACTCGATCAAGAACTGGGACCCAACGGAGATGCCGATCATTCTTCTGGGCAGTGTATTCGACGCGAACTCACTGGGCAAGTGGATCTACGATTGGACCGTGTTCACGCATGGGGCCTCAACGCCCATGGCGGACGTAGCGGGCGACCTGTGGCTGCTGTTGATCAAATTGGCCGGCAAGGTGAAGAGGGCCAACGAATGTCTTGACCGCATCCGGCGCCCCGAGGCGCAGGAGGTCGTGGAGGATTTCCTGCAGAGTGGGGAACGCCTGTGGGCGCGGTTCAAGAAGCTGCTCAAAACCTGTGAGCAGTTTATGTGGAAGGCGGCCAAGCGGGAAGGGGGCAAGGGCTCTGTGTCGATGGGCCGCAATGCCGGCTGTGAGTTTGTCGAGACGATCTTTGGCCGGGATCGCGAGCTGGAGAGTACGGAGAAGCTGATGAACAGCATCCGTTTGTGGAACATGCGGTTTGACGCCAACTGCGAAGAGATTCTCCGTCGCCCGTCGGCTGCCTAGGTTTCTTCCTACTGCGACTGCGACTCTCAAAGCAATATCTGATTTGTTTGTTTTGGTTTTTTTTTCCTGGTCTTTACACGGAAGCTTTTGACAGCACTATCTGCATTACGCAGGATTACAGGATACATGTGCAGTTGTTGCCGACTTACACTGCTTGGATTTAATGGTCGGCTTGCATTTCAGCGCGTTTGGTGACTCCATCTTATTGGTGCATCTTCAGGGTGAACAGTCCCGTCCATCATTCTTACGCGAATTCTTTTTCTGGTTGCGTTCTGGAATTGCCTTTTTTTTTCTTTTTTTTGTTTTCAAAGCTTTCAAGCATGGCTTCTAATTTCTGGGCTGGGAATTTGTTTTCCTTTGGCGTGCCTTGTTCAGTTTCACACGGCGTGACTGCGAACTCCGCTGCAAGTTGCTGCTGCGATACCTGTGGGGGCTTTTTTCTTCGTTTCGATCTGTCTTTTTGATGATACCATTCTGCGATCACTGTTTCGCCCCGGGACTGCTGGTTGAATCATTCTTTTCTTCTTGGGACTGGCGGGGTTAGACGCCGTCGCTTACATTTACAATCTTTCACCGTTGATAGACATACAGTACAGTATACAACTGATACACCGATTCCTCTGAAGGGTAGCAATGTAATCATAAGGATTCTGGTCTGCTTACGTATGTCACACCAAGAAGGCTGTGGCTGCGCCCGCCGTCGTGGTGACGCTCTCGCCTTGGGTTTAGCCCTGTCCTTCATCCCAGCCCTTCAGCCCCTGCCCTCAGCCACGGGCCCTCAGCCTTAACAGGGACCCGTTACAACCGGTGTATGCAGCAACACCAATGACCCAAAGCCCCTCTAGCCCCGCTATAAACCCAGAGAGCAAGAGAAACCCCATATAAGATGCATAGAATGTAAAGAAATGCTCGGAAAGAGCCCCCCCGCCCCATTCAAGCCTGCAGAATTCATCATGGCATGCATGCATGCACGCATGCCCCCCCTAACGATCCACCTCTGCGCCCGCCGTGTGGCGAGGTTGACCATGTGGGAATAGAAATGATTACTCAGGGCTGGCTGTACCTACCACCTCCCACCTCCTACGTCCCACCTACCTACTTGTACTTGTACTGCACTGCAAGACAGGCACTTCTCATGCACTGCAAGTACATAGTGGGTGGTAGGTGGTAGGAGGTAGGGTAATGTCCATCTCTACTGTTTCTGGGGTATATGCGCAGGTCAGGTAATGTGCTGTACTCGTACGAGAACGGGTAGGAATGTATGATCTCCGAGAGCGTGAGCCGACGGTACAGTGGACGTGATGGACGGGAATGTTGGGTATGTGCGTGTTATGCATGCACGGTTATTGGTTGGTATGTATGTATTCATGGGCTGTGTTTTCTTTGTAAATTGAGGAAAGGCAGGTGGGTGGTTTGGATTCTTGGCTCTTTGTTGCCTTTTCTTGGTTCCTGGATGACGTCGAGTTTTGTCTTCACTGGGTACTTAGTGATTTGGGTTGGATGTAGTGGTGGTGGTGGTGATGTAGGTTGGTATGTTTAGGGGTAAGTGGGTGAGTGCGGTCTTTGTCGGATTATTGTACAGTACGGTACTTGGGTTGATCTCTGGTGGGATTGAGTGGGATGGGTTGAGTGGGGTTGTGGTTGTGGTTGTGGTTGTGGTTGTGGTTGTGGTTGTGGTTGTTGATGACTTGCCTATTGTCTTTCCCATTGACCACCTAGAAGGCTACATGCGTAGTGCAGTACTGGAGGGGGTGGAGAGGGGGATGAGGGGTTGATCTGTTGGAGGTGGGGAAGGGTCACGGTCATCGGGACTTCTATGGGGAATGAATGTGCAAGTGGGGACTTCGCCTTACTACGGTACCGCTAGTCTAGTGTACTGGTGGAGGCCCGGAGTGAGAGCTAGTGCCGCATCCAGCCATTTACCCCATCCATTCGCCTTCCAGGCTTGCGGCCAGAGCCGGATGCAGGCTGGGGACTAGTACCCGTGACCCTCCCTGTGGTAGATGGCTGGGGATGGGTTCTTTGGGTGGGACACTACGGGGAATTGGACTTCGGTTCAGTGGTGTTTGTGTTGAAGGGGTGTGGTGGGTGTAGATTTTGTGTGTGTGTTGAGGTTTGGTTGTGATAATTTCTATTTCTCTGTTATTGTCTCGGTTGTTGGTAAGGGGTGAGTGGTGAGGGGTGACCGGGAAGGTGAAGAAAGGGGGGTCTGGGGGTTCTCCCCCAGATCGTTATATGATAACTTGGCCTTGGGGTTGAGGGTACTGGAAAGTTGAAAGAAAGGGGGGTCTGGGGGTTCTCCCCCAGATCGTCACATTATAACTGCATTGAACAGTAAGGTATCGTGATTGAAAAGTGTGGGGAGGCCATTGTGTGTTGCAGGGAGTTTAAGGTAGGTGTCCTATCTCTATAAGCTGGCTCGAAATGTACTCAGGGCTGTTTCTAGCGGAGGTCGAAAGTAGAGTGATGAGATTATAGGGCAGGTGCAGTACGTGAGGATACGCATGGGCATGTGGAGATAAGGTGATGTATAGCTTCATATCTTGGCCCGTTTAGGTAATTGCACTCTTGAGAGGTTCTTGGACGAATTGCTAAGTAGGTAGTATAATCTGCCTCCAGCAACTCAAGTCGTACACTTTGACTGAAACGAGACAAATAATTAACAAAGGGGGAATTCTATCAATGTACTGTATTCACATCTATGTCTCAAAACCACAACATTACTCAACCCGCCAGCTCTACTTCTACCCCCACCTTTGACCTCAATCAACCCTTCGTCTCCCCCTTCCAGACCAGCCATCCCAATCCAATCATCAACTTCACCCCGGCCGCCATCCACAGCGCCGACTCCATCCCGCCCGAGGTCTTGCTCAACCACCCGCCCGCAATCGCCCCGATCAACAGGAACACGACCCCGCCGATCCGGCGGTTGCGCTTCACATTACCGTTGGGCACCTGCAGCAGCTTGGGGTCGGAGGCCACGTCGAAGTAGACGCTGGTCAGCACGACCGTTGGAATCTCGTTGTACCCCAGGGCGCGCGATGAGGTGATCGACCCCGCAGACTGGAACGCCAGCAGCGCGATGGGGATCAGCTCCAGAAACAGCCGGCCCCCCGTCAGCTTGCTGTCCGTTGAAGTGTGCGGGATCAGGTCGGCCTCGATGATGGCCACTGCGATGATGATCAGGATCGTCTGCGCCAGGAAGGAGAGCACCAGGGTGCCCCGCGCGCGGTTGCCGCTGCGTCGCGTCAGGTTCGCGAAGACCAGCGCCCCGATGAAGAACCACCCGATGCTCATGAGGGATTTCAGCCAGCCCCACGGTTTGTTGGCGGGTTGGTTGGAGGCGCCTAGGCCGAGGAAGATCGTGTTTCCTGGGGAATGAGTTGGTGTTAGTGTGAGGGGATAGTGGGGGGAGAGGGGGGAGGGAGGAGGTAAGGAGAGGAGGTAAGAGGGAGGATGGCGTACCCGTTTGCATGGCTAAGAAACACGACCACGCGTTATATGCACTACTGTCGCAGAGTCCCGTGGTGAAGCACAGCAGTAAACAGATGAGGTCGGTGTGCTTCGGGTCGACATTCTGGTTCCAGCGCTGAGAGAAGGTGAGCTTCTTCATCTGAGGTTCCGGGTCGGAGGCTTCGAGGTCGCTCCCCTCGGGGGTAGACGAGACTGGGGGCTTCTCCGCCATGAGTGGGATTTGGGGTAGTAGTTTCTGACTTGATACTACCAACTGATATGGACAGAGAGGAAGAGTCGGGAAATTGGGCCTGCACAACGGCGGCGCCGGGCTTGGGGTAGTCACAGTATTTATCAACGGCGGCGCCGACAACCGGCCTCGGAAGAAAATGTTCAGAAGCAAAGTCCGGAGCTGACATGTAGCCTGGACGGAAAAAGTGAAAAATACCATAAACAGTGATGAAGATCGTCTCTCGGCGCACGATGACTAGTTACATCTTGGCCAAACGATAAGACCCGCGGATTGGTCTCTTCCCTGCCTCTACTCACCAAATGGCCACCTCAAGACTCACCGGGGCGGATTGTCCAGATTGCGCCATTCCCATTAGTCCACTACTACAGAGTGCAGACTCGTTTAGTCTGTTTCTCTTGGCGCTGCATTGATGTTTTCGTGAGTCAATGGATATAGGGGGGAAGAGGAGAGGCGAAGGAGGAGAATCCCGCCAGTTGCTCATTCGATCCACCCGGTCGGATAGGGCTGAATTGAAGTGGAGGATGCAGTCCATGTACAGTCCTGTACTGCACTGTCCGAATGTTTGTATGGAATGTAAGCTGGCTAATCGTGAGAAGTGTCATCCACAACTTCCAAGGTTTGCGATACATTCCTACCACAATCGCACAGAACTTTCCACCCCATCAACATGAAGCAGCCCACCCGGTGTAAAGAGAGCGTGGCAATCGGGGCAGTCTGGTCTGCCGACAGCGATAGTCCCTTCTAGTCTCCCTCCCTCATGCATCAGCATCCGATCATCAATTATCCATTATTGCTTCTGCACGGCTCGGCGTTTTCTTCACCCTCTGCAGCCTGCAACCGATAGCCCGATCTCCTGTCTGCCTTTCTTTTCTCTTATCCTACCCTCGTAGCCCCAAGCTCTCCGGCGCATTCCGCATTCTTGGCTGCTTATCGTGAATATGCTGGTGACATCCGTTGGTCCGTCCCGACCCCGTCTGTTCTCCTCCACACAATGAAAAACTGTCAGCCATATGGCATCGGCTCAACCATGGAAATCGCGTTGAATAAAAGGAGGGAGTTACCCGTGGAACCTGACGTGAACTGACAGCCGAACCAGAGGGATGTCATGGCCAGCCCGAGGCTGCAACCAATACCTCTCATCGCCAACTCCCGTCATGACCTCACCAATTTGCGGGGAAGCAATCAGCTTCGCAACCACTTCACGAGCCACTCCCTCAAGTCCCAGCGTCATTGCCGCATCATCTGTGCCACCGTGGGCCATATAATCCCCCCGATTCCCACCGTGACCGGCTCTCGGACATATCCAGCATCAGTACAATCAGTCTTGGAACCACTATCGAATAATTGTATCAATACTGGTACGCTGGCTGTCCTTCCTGTCTCAGGAGTGCTGCTGTCGACTGTATTGTTGGTATACGGTTTACGATATCTGCGACTAATTGAGAACAGAACGATTCTCTACCATGCAGTCCTCAAAAGCTAAAAACACCTCGCGCATGTCGCAAACCTCCCAGAATCAGGCCGGCGGTTCGAAGAAAGACGATCCCACTGCCAATTGGAGTCCGGAAGAAATCTTCGAGACCACCATGGACCGCGACGGCAACCCTGTACCCGATCCCAGCTACTACGTTGACGGTGATAGGATGGGCAAGGCTTCCAAAGGCGGCCGCAGTGAAGGCCAGGACGAAGGAGACATGTATGCCGCGGCCAACGATGACTTTGACTAAACTGCCAGATATGAATCAGGACTGTCTAAGTGACGGTCAGTCAGAGGCACAGTCGACTAGCGACTGCGTCTATCGGCCTCGGTCTTGTGCTATGCGATTGAGACATGTGTAAATGAAATGACATGAATTGAATTGAATTGAATTGGAATTATACTAGTAACCACTTGTGCTGGTTGTAATTGAAACATCGAAAAGTCGAAGGTTCCAAACATCCGGGGTTCCTCTTCTGACCCACTGTAACACAACGGACTTGACTTGATTGATCCACTTCTAAGTTGTCTCATCTCTCATCACTACTTGGAAATGGGCCAAAGACTTGGTCTCGCGATAAATTGCTATGGCAACCGCAGCCGGGGAGATGGCCTTACCGCGGCCTAAGGCTGTCGTCTAGTCCCCATCGGGACATCCCCAAACGAGTCCCTCTCCATATCGCGACCTCCTCATCCATTGCTACTAAGCCCATACTGTCTGTTACTGTCTCTCTTTCGCCTTCTTGCGCATCACTCTCCAGAGTGGGTGTGTCTTGTCTTCGACCTCCTTGCGTTCTTTGCTGCATGTTTCTCTCTTTGACTTTCCATCGCAAAAGCCTCCAATTCGATCCCGAACTGTTTACAATCTACTCCGTTTCATAGTAGCTACCCATGCCACCGGCCGATCATTGTTGTTTAGAACCAAAGTGCGATTGATTGACCAACCTCGAACCCGAAAGTCCCCCGGAGCATCGCACCTGCTACTACATCACTGGATCTCCCTGCCCACGGGAAAGGACGACTTATCCGGTGCACGGGGGGCCCCCCAACGAACCTAGCAGTGACGACCTGACCGCAGTTGTCTTGTTTGGCCCTGCCCGTATGTATCACTGCCTGTTGCAACGCCAGCGCGAGCACCTCACTCAGCTTCTGCAGTTTCTACTCGATCACGGCTCCAACATGGCCCTGGATCCCCGGGTTTACCACCATCTCGGCTACGGCAACGGGCTCAGCTCCCCGGCTTCGGTCACGTCATCTGCCATGTCCGCTATCACCGGCATCACTAGCCCATCCTCCCACGCGATGACCGCTTCTGCGGCCATGCTACGGTCAACCGCCTCAAGCCCTTCGCTGCGCGCTCGCGAAAGCGTTCCCGTCGCGGCGCGTCGAGTCGATGGTCTCTCCAGCCCCTCGCCCGGAGGGAACGTCCGCGTTGTTGTCCGAGTGCGGACCTTTCTGCCTAGAGGTATGTCTCTGTCCACGGATGGAAGCAGGATGTGAGGAAGCTGATCGCGGGCTGGTACTGCCCAACGAACTCCAGAAATCGAGCGAAGAGCCCAGTGTCTGATCTCCATGGACCCGCACACCCAGACAACCAAGCTACGGGCACCTCGATCCAATCCCGATGATGATGGGAGACCCAAGTTGCAGGCGCGCGGAAAGGTCCAGGAGGATAAGTCGTTTGTATTCGACAACTCGTTCTGGTCGCACAACACCAAAGATAAACATTATGCGACGCAGGAGGATGTGTACAACTGTCTGGGAGAGGAGTTTCTGGACCACAACTTTGAGGGGTACCACACCTGCATCTTCGCGTACGGGCAAACGGGATCCGGGAAGAGCTATACCATGATGGGGACCTCAGAGCAGCCGGGCTTGATCCCGCGGACCTGCGAGGACTTGTTCCAACGGATCGAAACCGCCGAAGCCCCGGATATCAGCTACAATGTCCGCGTCTCGTACTTTGAGGTCTACAACGAGCATGTGCGTGACTTGCTGGTGCCGCGCACGGAGCCCCCACACTACCTCCGCATCCGCGAATCACCGACGGAGGGACCGTATGTCAAGGATTTGACCGAGGTGACGGTGAAGGACTACGGGGAGATTATGCGGTACATGCGGAAAGGCGATATGTCCCGGACAGTGGCCAGCACCAAGATGAACGATACCTCCTCGCGGTCGCATGCAGTCTTTACGATCACGCTCAAGCAGATCCACCATGACTTGTCGACGGACGAGACTACCGAGCGGACGGCGCGGATCCGTCTGGTCGATCTGGCGGGCTCGGAGCGAGCCAAGTCTACTGAGGCGACCGGTCAGCGTCTCCGGGAGGGATCCAACATCAACAAGTCGCTGACGACACTGGGACGAGTGATTGCGGCCCTAGCTGATCCGCAGCAGGGCCGTCCAGCGAAGCGCAAGGGCAAGGACATCGTCCCCTATCGAGATTCGATCCTCACCTGGCTGTTGAAAGACAGTCTCGGCGGCAACTCCAAGACCGCCATGATTGCATGTATCTCACCCTCCGACTACGAAGAAACGCTGTCAACGCTGCGGTATGCAGACCAGGCCAAGCGGATTCGCACGCGTGCCCGAGTCAACCAGGACCACCTGTCTGCTGCGGAGCGCGACAAGCAGATTGCTGAGATGGCCGAAACCATCCGCACGTTGCAGCTGAGTGTTAGCCAAGCGACCGCCAACCGGCGGGAGAGCGAGATTCAGAACGAGCGGCTCGAGGAATACCAGCAAAAAGTGGAGAAAATGCAACGGTTGATGGAGGAAACCAAGATGGTCAGCGAGTGCAAGATCCGCCAGCTGCAGACGGAGAACGAGGCCCTACGCAACCATCTCAAATTGGCGTTGGATAGTATCCGGAACCCCATCCCCCCGGTGATTGTGCCGGAGCGGCGGAGCAGCCTGTACAGTGTGAATCAAAACGATGGCTCCCCGTCCACGCGCAAGCGCTACAGTCGGGCCCTGTCTCCAGCCCCTACTTCCGGGGACGAGTCGGAGCCGAATTCGATATGGAAAGAAGAAAGCACCCCTGGAAGTGACGAGAACTCGACTCATCTGGAAGCGCACCAGATGCAGGCACATATGGAAGACCTGTTGGAGGACCTGAGTGTGTTCAAACGCAAGTTGGCGACGGACCATGAACGATTTCAACCTCCTCAACCGGCGAAAAAGGATCGAAAGAGCCGACGAGCCTTAGGCGCCATCTGGGGCAACAATCGATAGGTGGAGATGTTTGACTGCAGCGTGGGGTGGCTTTCTGGGATTCGACGGCGTTACGCGGATTGGTGTTGGGACTAAATGGTGCGATTCCGAAGACCTCCGGTTCTTATATTAGCTGAACTGGGATGGTTATCTTTGCTATTGGCGTGCTGTAATTCGTTTGCTGTTTTAACCCATGTACTGATGCCACGATGGAACGATTTGTACGTATGGTAGGATCTTCGAGGAGATGCCCGCCAGACCGCGCCACGATGAAATGTTTTGATGCCCGAATGAGTTGAATGGAATGACGGCATATAAGGGCCGAGTGTTACTCTTACGAAGGTCCTCTTACGAAGGACAGTGAGTGATAAATGAGATGTAAAGTCAGTCAATCTGTGTTACTTGGAGTAACGAATAATCAAGATGGAGGGTTTCTTTATCCGACGCGGAAACCAAACTCGTGACTCAAGCCCTTTTCTGATTCCCCACATTCCGTTTCCCAATCCGCTCCGAAAAAGTCGCCCGCAACAACTGGAACCTGATTCTCAATCTCTCTGGTCTCACCTCAATGCTTGTCGCGCCGGCCGTCATCCTTTCTGGAACTCTCTCCTGTTGACGACCAACCAAATCCTGTCAGCGCACATCAACAACAGTTCCTCGCAATCCCTTGTCTCCGCGACCGCGACCGCGACGACCACGCCCACGACCGGCGAAATGACGAGCTCAACTCCGACCGCGCCCTCCCCCTCACCTGCAGCAGCAGTAGCAGCAGCTGCTACTCCCACCACTTCCACCCCCTCCACCGCATCCACCTCCTCGAAACCCACGAAGCAGCAACCATCCGCCCAATCACAAAAGCCATCCAAGTCAGCCACCAAATCCAAAGATGCCGCCACCGCTGCCACCAGTGCTACCGCTGCCCCCGCCGACAGCGCAACCGCCCAACTGACCCCCGCCGAACTGAAAAAGCGAGCCAAGGCCGAAAAGGCCGCGCGCCGGGCCCGCGAACGCGCCGAACGGGAGTCCTCCGGCCCTGCGGGGGGAGCTCCCTCTGGTGGTGCCGCCACGCCCGGCAAGAAGGACGGTAGCAGCGGCGGCGGCGGATCGGCTGCTGGTGCTTCTGGATCGAAACAGGTGCCTCGTCGGGGATCTGCGCAGAATGCTTCGCAGAATGGTGGGGGTAGTGTCTCTGGTGCGGTGCCGGCTGGGGGGTTGGAAAAGAGTGCTGGCAGTGGTAGTGGGGAGAATAAGGGTGGTAAGAAGGCCGATGATAAGAATGTGGCGGTGTTTGGACATCTTTACGGGCAGCAGAGACGGACGACGGTGGCTGGGGCGGGGAAGGAGGTGCATCCGGCTGTGTTGGCTTTGGGGTTGCAGATGAGGGATTATGTGGTTTGTGGGAGTAGTGCGCGGTGTGTGGCTACGCTGTTGGCTTTTAAGAGGGTGAGTTTTATTTCTCTTTTCAGACTTGGCTCTGGAGTTGATCTTCCTACTGACCGCTGACGCTGACCGCTGCAGGTCATCGAAGCGTATACTACGCCCATGGGAACCTCCCTCCCTCGTCACTTGACGACCTACCTCTCCCACCAGATCACCTACCTGTCGACCTGTCGGCCGCTGTCGATCAGCCAGGGTAATGCGATCCGCGCCCTCAAGCTGGCCATCTCGTCCATCGACCCCTCCACGCCCGAGGCGGAGGCCAAGGCGTTCCTGGGCGAGTTCATCGACAGTTTTATCCGCGAGAAGATCACCGTGGCGGACCAGGTCATCGCCAGCAGCGCCGCGCAGAAGATCCAGGACGGGGACGTGATCGTGACGTTCGCGGGCAGCTCGATCGTCAAGCAGACGCTGCTGTTGGCGCACAAGCAGGGCAAGAAGTTCCGGGTCTCGATTATCGACTCGCGGCCGCTGTTCGAGGGCAAGAGCCTGGCACGCACGCTGGCCAACGCCGGGCTGGACGTGCAGTACTCGCTCGTCCACGGCATCAGCCACGCCATCAAGGCGGCCAGTAAGGTCTTCCTGGGCGCGCACGCCATGACCAGCAACGGCCGGCTGTACTCGCGCGTCGGCACTGCGCTGGTCGCCATGAGCGCCAAGGAGCGCGCCGGCGGCGTCGAGGTGCCCGTCATCGTCTGCTGCGAGACGGTCAAGTTCACCGACCGCGTCGCGCTCGACAGTATCGTCGTCAACGAGATCGCCGACGCGGATGAGCTGATCACCGCCGAGCCCATGCAGCAGCTGACCGGCCTGCCGGACCCGGCGGCGGTGACGGTCTCCACGGCGGACGCGAAGAAGGGCGGCAGTGGTGGTGGTGGTGGGAAGTCGGCGGCGGCAGCGGCAGCGGCGGCGGCCAATGCGGCGGCGGAGTCGAACACGCTGGCGCAGAATGTCTCGTCGCCGTTGACGGGATGGAAGGAGTCGGCCAACCTGCAGTTGCTGAATATCATGTACGATGTCACGCCGGCCGAGTATGTGGATATGGTGGTCACCGAGATGGGCAGCTTGCCTCCGAGTGCAGTACCGATTGTGCATCGCATGAGTACGAATTTGTGATTGGGGGCGTGGGATGCTAGTATGTATTATGATTAGAAAATTGCTTAGATTGTTTGCCAAGGGTTTTGTGGTTGTAGAGAGTACTAGGTAGTTGTAGAAGTAGCTCTTTTAGTGTAGTCCCGTTGCTGTTGCTGTACTGTACTCCGTACACTGTATCCGTACTCCGTAGTTCGTTCCTATCTCTTGTCTCCGATATCCTTTCTTATCTCCGCCAACCCTTCAACACCAACACCACCACCATCGCATCTCAATCTTCAAACAAACCACCACAAACCACACCATACCATACCTTCCCTCTCTCACCTTTTCGCTTTCCGACAACAAATCTCTATCTCTTTTAAAACTAACACCCCCAACAAACCTTACATCCCATCCCCACCTCAACCAAACCCGAAACCCACCGACCACCCACTAAGTTACACCCAAGAACCAAAACAAAATGGTACCTCCCTGCCCTCTCCTCCCATCCTCCCATCCTCCCATCCCCCCTCATACAAATACCAATACTAACGCCCCCCAAAAAGAGCAAAGACTCCACCCCGCACCAAATCCACATGCACCACCCGCGCCTCGCCGACTACTTCGAAGACTTCGCGCGCCCGCACACCCACACCTCCGCTGCCGCATCCTCGGCCTCCTCCTCCCTGCTCCTCGCCGCCTCCTCCTCCTCGACCAACCTCGCCTCCAGCAGCTACTCCATCGCCGCCGCAGCCGCCGCAGCCGCGGCCGCAAACGCCAATCCGAATGTGCCCCCCCGGGGCGAACCCGTCCTACCTCCCGATCGAGGAGATCTACGTGGCGCCGCAGTTCCAGCCGCCGAATCCGGAGGACGAGGACGACGTGGTGCCCGACCAGCATGCTGCGTTTGGGATTAGCCGGGCGATGGTGGGGGGTTTCAGAGGGGGTGGTGGGCTTGGGGGGGTGGGGGGTGGACTTGGGGGTGGGCCCGGGGGAAATGGGAATGGGGGGAGGTGGAGGGATCTGGGATTGGAGGGGCTTGTCTCTGGGTACTCGGGGCAGGGGGGGATTAGTTGGGGGGAGTTTGGGGGGAGTTGGGGCTGGGGGTGCTGGTGCTGGTGCTGGTGCTGGGGTTAGGGTGAGGGAGGAGGGGAGGAGGATGGGGGGGCGGAGGAGGGTTGTTTGTTTACGGTGATTTCTTTATTCTCGGTTGGTTGCTGGGAAGGTGAAAGGAAGGGGGGTCTGGGGGCCCTACCCCAGATACTTATATTATGATGTGGATTTGGAGTTGGGGTTGATTTTGCTGGGAAGCTGAAAGAAAGGGGGGTCTGGGGGTTCTCTCCCAGATCGTTATGCTATGGCTTTGGCTTGGGGTTGAGGGTACTGGGTCATGGGAAGGGAGTTTGGGGTCTTGAGGGGTCTACTTGGGTTGGAAATGGAGTTTTGGGAGTCATTGGGAGGTTCAGTGGTATCGTTATGCATCGGGAGTATGGTGGATGGTTGTCATTATATCTATATCCCCCTGCCAGTCATCATCATCGATTTTTGCTTGGCATACAGCCTCAGATCCGGTTGATGTCCACCCGCGTCCGTTCGTACAGCTTATGACTGACTTGCTTCTGGTCTCGCTCCTCCGCGCTGATCGTCCGTGGATGGATCGCTAGCTGTGCGTATGTCCCGGCCGCTCGGCGCTTCGACAGCGTCCCTGGGTTGATCACCGTTACACTCTCCACCACCTGTCGCGTAGTCAGTTAGCTAGTCCATCGATCAGAGGCAAAGGGCGGCGCACCTTTACAAACGGAGGCAGCATGCTCGGCACAATCAACACGTCCGGCCGCACATTCCACCACTCCCCCAGCTTCGAGTAGCTCACGTCCAGCATCGCTCCCGTCGCCAGCCCGGTCTCCGTCCCCGGCCGCGGCAGCATCTCGCGCGCCGTCGGCGGGAACATCGGGTGGAAGTGTCGCTGCTCGATCAGGTACTTCGGCAGCCGGCCCAGCAGGTTCCCCTCCTTGGGCTTGCCGTGCAGCACCTCCTCGCGCCGCAGCTCATACAACACGTCGTGCGAGCACAGCCCGATCACTGTCTCGTTCAACGACAGCGTCACCGGGTTCGACACCATGCGCGCCTGCTTCGGCAGCCCCAGCTCCTTCTTGGGCAGCTGCTCCTGCGGCCACGCGACGTGCTTGCTCACCGCGTCGCGCACCGACGGCACCAGCACGATCGTGATGCTGGGCACCGCCTGCGCCAGCCGCTGCAGCGGCGCCGCGATGCAGTGCCGGAACACGGTCGTCAGCGTCGCCGTGTCGGGGTCCAACCCCGCAATCTCGGGGAGGTCGAAATCCCCGGACGCCAGCAGTGGGTGCTCCACGTCGAGGAACGGCCCCATCAGGATGAGCCCGTCGGCGTAGCTCTCGGCGGCCTTGCGGCAGATCTCTTTCAACGGCTCGAAGGCGAGATTGTCGTCGGCGGTGTACGGTCCCGACGCGAGGAGGATGTTGAGTGGAGAGGAGCCGCCGGCCGCCTCGAGTCGCTCGTTGATGCTTTCGATGTTGACAACGGACGAGGCCGCAGGCGGCAGCAGCGGCGTGGGCAGCACCTCTTTCACGGAGAAGTAGTTCCCGGAGGCATTGATCCCGCGCAGCGCCACCATCTGGCCCGGGAAGAAGTTGGCCGAGGGGACGCCGTCGAGCTTCAGGGGCACGCGCACGCCGGCGCCCGCCCGTCGCGACGTCTCAAGCACGAGCGACGCCGGGTTCAGCTTGCCCTCCATGCTGTCAGATGCGATGCGGCCCACGGCCACGATCTCGCTCGTACTCTGCGTCGCCGCGCTGCCGAATGTGATCTCGTCGGATTCGTATTGTTTCTGGAACAGTGCGGTGAACTCGTCAATCCGGTCGTCGAGGATCTCCGAGGCCTCCGACAGGCGCATTGCCATGGGCTTGTAGCCGAATTTCTTGAGGTCCGTGTTCGCCGTCGGCTTGATCCGCGCTTCGGCGTACGGAGCGATGGGTGTTTCGGGGAGGGGGAGGTGGGAATTGATCGTTTCGAGCGTCTCGCCGGCGTTCTGCCGCTCGCCGAATGAGATCGACCTGTTGTGCATTTTCACCCCGCATCAGCAATCTGTTTAGTCTCTGTCATATGCACGCCACATACGGGAGTGCGTCGCCATTCGTCGTCTTGACTCCGGTGTTTGTGCTCATGGGAGAACCATTCTGGTTCGTCCGTCCGATCTTGTTCATCGCCGGCGACGCGAAATCCGACTTGCGCTTCGCCGGCGTCCGGCCGTGGGATCCGTTCGGTGTGAGTCCATCTAACCTAAAAGTGCAAGCTGTTAGAATCAGGCCGTGCGCATTAGGATGGCTGACTTACATTCCGAAAACATCGGAGGTGTTGGCAGCCCGCGGGGTCGCCGTGACTGCCGTTCTTCTGTCTGTTTGGCGCCCAGCTCTGCCCCGCGATTCGCGCTCGAGTGTATCCTGAACATCTTTCTTGAATAATCGTACAGTCTCCAGATCCAGCTTCAGCTCATCTGGCCCCATCTTCAAACAGTAGGATTCCCATTTGTAGAAAAGCTCCTGCGCGGAGATAGCGTGGATGCGCAACAGCGACTGCAGTTCGGCCAGGACGTCCTTGGGAAGTCCATGGGGGGCAGCAGCTGCGAAGAGCTCGTTGAGCTCTTCGGTGGTGTCTGCCATTATTTCAGGTAGATGTGGAGACCAGCGAGTTACAGTCGTGAAGATCTTGGTATGTTGGTGATATCTCCATCTATTCATTAATCAATTAACGGAGGGTGACGCGGAGGACGCGCGTGTGGGACGCGGAGCGGAAAGTGGAAGCTGACCGCCTACTGTATCTAGTCAGACAGCAGGACCGCCCGGCGGCGGTGTGCATCTCCGGCGGTGTGATGAGCAGGAGATTATTTGCAGGAGGGCGATCTGCCGGTGGGCCTGTCGATCGAGAGATTAGTATTCCTCGAGTAAGTATTGTCCCGGCAGTTGGCCAGCTGGTCCATCAGCTTCTCTCGTTCATTGTCTGACATTTCCCCCTTTTCTATTCGTCTTTGAGTCTGCCACCATCTCTGCGCCAGATTCTAGCAAATACACCTCACCAATCCATCAATTCATCTTGCATAAACGAACCGCATCCCCCTTTCCCGCACTATGAGCGCCGCCCCAGAAACCCAAGCTGCGCCTGCTGCTGCGGTTCCAGCTGTCAACGAGCCAGCTCAATCGCAGACGGCTGGATCCAATCCTGCCCCTGAGACGCCCGCTGGAGGTACCGAATCCACCTCCAAGAAGAACATTGAGCTCGAGCTGCCGACGTCGGCCGTCGACGGCCTCATCCAGAAGCCCTTCGCCCGCCCCTTGGACACCGCAAAACCTACCCCGCCAGCTAAACTCCAGCCCGACCAGCAAGCCAAGTACAATGAAGTCTTCAAGACGGTCTCCGAATGGACTGCCCTTCCCACGACATCGGCCAAGAATGCCCCCACGGCCCCTCTGACCGACAGTGAACGCATGTTCCTTACTCGCGAGTGTATCCTGCGCTATCTGCGCGCAAGCAAGTGGAATGTGTCCGAGGCAACCACCCGCCTGCAGCGCACTCTCACCTGGCGCCGGGAGTATGGGGTCGAGAAGTTGACGGCCGATTACATCTCCATCGAGAACGAGACCGGCAAACAGGTCATTCTGGGGTATGACATTGAAGGACGTCCCTGCCTCTACCTCATCCCGTCGAAGCAGAACACGGAGACGAGCGATCGCCAGATTGAGCATCTGGTCTTCATGCTGGAGCGCGTGATCGACCTCATGGGCCCTGACCAAGAGACTTTGGCGCTTCTCGTCAACTTCAAGGAGACCAAGTCCGGCCAGAATGCCAGCATCGGGCAGGCCAAGCAGACCCTCAACTTCCTGCAGAACCACTACCCGGAGCGCATGGGTCGGGCGCTCGTCATCAATAGTAAGTGACCCTTTCGGTGGGTGGGCGTACTCAATCTGACCACTTGAATCACCCAGTGCCGTTCCTCATCAACGGATTCTTCAAGATCATCACCCCGTTCATCGACCCCCAGACCCGACAAAAGCTCAAGTTCAACGAAGATTTGCGTCAGCATGTGCCGCCGGAGCAGTTGATGAAGTCGATGGGCGGAGACGTCGAGTTTCGCTACGACCATGCCACCTACTGGCCCACCTTGAACCAGCTAGCGGACCAGCGCCGAGCCGCCTACACGGAACGGTGGATCCAGGGTGGTAAGCGCATCGGAGAGTTCGAAAACTACCTGAAGACCGGCACCAGCCCCAGCCTGGCACAGTCCGAAGGAACGCCCAATGGCGTGGCGGGTGAGACGCAACCCACCGCTTAGGGCATCGCCAACTCTATTCGAGGCGTACACGCTGTTGCTGGCTTGGAAGGCGCCTCTCCGAGCATCTTACAGACTGCCTGAGTGCGCCAGTCCCCGTAAATAGATATTGTCTTTTCTGCATTATACCTGAATTTGGCGCGATTTGTACCCCGAATCTCTATGGGTGCCGGGGAAAAATCCATCATCATTTGTCGCAATAGACTTATAAAATAGACTTAAAGGATCACATGGTTATAGGTGATTGATATCATCCACGATAGGTTTATCCACTTCCCCGACCTATACCAAGAATCACGTGAATGATAGTGGGGCACTTATAGCCTTAGGCATCAATATGATAGGAAATGAAGCATCTTCGGTGATAGCGGGGAGGGGTTCGGTTATGGAGTCGCAAAGGACTTCAGCGGTCTCTTGGGAATAGAACAAGACAAGACATCCTAACAGTGGAGAGACTGCATAATACTTTCTGTCCGTCAGTCCTGTCAGCCAGCAAGGTGAAATAGCCCACCAACAATTTAGCAGTCGAGGGATGGCATTGTACATACAGGTGATGTCCGAGAGGTCTGAGAGGTAGGATGGATCAGTCAACAGGTACTTTGTGTCGGCAGAGACATCATTCCAGCTGGAGGATTTATCAAGTGATCTCTTCAGCAACTAGGTTAGATTTATTATCAATCCTTCTCCCTCGGCTTCCTAGATTACCACCACTTCATTACTTCCCTCTGTCCTTATTTCTCCTCTCTGTCCAGCACGCTTGCTTGCGAGAACCGGAAAAGATTGTTTGTCACGCAACAGTGAACGTACTATACTTGTGCAAGCAAGGGACAATAGCCCTGAACCCTTGAGTCGATTGTAGTAGTTGTCTAGTTGTTGTCGTTGCACAGGCACCGTTTCTTTTCCCTGCTCCTTCTCGCTCGGATTCTCCCAGGCCAGTCTCTCCACACCGGAGCTCCAACTGGAAGCGGTGGTTGAACGCATCGATCAATCATGACGGAGGACTTTCCCCAGCGGCGGCGGCCAGTCCCCACGGGCAGAACCAGCTCTACTTCCGGCCTGCCGCCCTCCACTATTATTACTGCTTCAACAACTACGCCAACGACCACCACCAACCACCACCCTCTCTTCTCCTCGGCCACAACGGCGACTGCTACGGCTTCTGCTTTCGCATTCCCTACTGCTACAGCTCCATTTCCTCTCTCCACCACTACCAACACCACCTTTCACACTCGAACTCGATCCCGGTCGCAGCCCTACGCCCCATCCTCCTCTCTCTCCATCGCTCTTCTGTCCTCCCACCCCTCCTCCACCTTAGACCGTCGGCCAGTCCGTGCCCACGAGGGAGGTTTTGTGCATCCCGCCTCCTTTCTCCGGCCGCGAGGTCTGTCACAACCAATGCCCCCAGCTCAGCCCGAGAGGGCCATCGATCGGGAAGAGCGTCAGGGCCTTGTGAGTCGCCTTCTCTTCCTTTCCCCCCCCCGTATTTCCTGCAGCATGAATCACATTCCTCTACCCGTCCGAGCCTTGGTGCCTCAACCCCTCATTCGCATACCCAAATCTACACCCGTCTTTTTCTGGGCCAATTCGCCCGCGACTATGTCGGCAGCCAGACAGCAGTCTTCTGTTTCATTTCTGTTTCGTAATTTGCACTTCCATGGGTCCTCAATTGCTAGGGTGCAGTGGCTAATAGAGTCGTGGATCGGTCTTCTTCATTGTAGCGTGCCATCCGCAACTTCCTCAAAGTCCGTACCAGTTACGATGTCCTCCCCCTTAGTTTCCGACTCATAATCTTCGACACCTCGTTGTCCGTCAAGGAGAGTTTGAACATCCTCATCCAAAATGGCAGGTGTTTCCCTTGTCCGTCTCCAGGCGGGATGACTCCGTCTGCGCCTGCGCCATAATCCGGGCCACGTCACGATGCTGGAAGAATCATTTGCTGACCGGGAAGACCTGATGCTTTGGGATAACAGGTATCGTCTCGGCTCCGTTATGGGATTCCAAGGCCTCGACTTTTGCCGGTCTTTTGACCACCTCCGACTACATCAATGTCATCCAATACTACTTCCAGAACCCGGCTGCGCTAAACCAGATCGACCAATTCCGGCTCGACAGCCTCCGAGGTGCGCACCTCTACAATTGTTCACGGACCCCCGCAGGACTGACACTTTAGACAGAGGTGGAAAAGGCCTTGGGCGTCGCTCCTCCCGAGACAATATCGATCGACCCGGAACGTCCCCTCTATGAGGCTTGTCGGCGCATGCTGGAGTCACGCGCTCGCCGTATTCCCCTCGTCACATATGACAGTCAAACCGATCGCTCTCTCGTTCTTAGCGTCGTGACCCAGTATCGCATTCTCAAGTTCGTTGCGGTCAATGTCCCAGACACCCAGAAGCTGCGCAAGCCGCTGGGTGAGATCTTGCTGGGTTCATATCAGAATGTCGCAACGGCATCCATGGATACCCCTGTCATTGATGTCATTCATATTCTGGTCGAGCGGAGCATATCCAGCGTGCCGATTGTTAATTCCGAGGGTAGGACGGCCTCTCTGTCCGGACCCGGACCTTGGGCTGGGTCTCATGGCTAACTTTTTTGGCGCCTTCTAGGAGTGGTCTACAATGTATTCGAAGCTGTTGATGTGATCACCCTGATCAAAGGCGGGGTGTATGATGATCTCAGCCTGACGGTCGGAGAGGCGTTGAAAAAGCGATCTCCAGTAAGTATACCTCATACCCTGCTTGCGGAAGGAGTCGGCTAACCGGCGCTCAGGATTTCCCGGGCATCTACACGTGCTCCTTAAATGATGGTCTGGACACCATTTTCGACACTATTCGCAAGTCTCGCGTCCACCGCCTGGTTGTGGTGGATGAGAACTTCCGGCTCAAGGGCGTCCTGACCCTGAGCGACATCCTGCAGTACATCCTCCTCGAGGGCGAAACTGATGAGCTATCATGAATTGATGTTTAATTTCTTGATCTACCCTTTCTACTGGTGCCACAGTGCTGCCAATATACTCACAATTGCATAGGATGGCGTTTCTCGTTTGGGGCTAGTGTCGGTGTCGAAGCCTCTCCACGGGATTCGACAGATGGTAGCTTACTTGTTACCAGCTCATGGTTTTCTTTTTTCTTTCTCTATTCCGTCTCTTTCCAACTAACGATGCAAAAGTAAACCTACATGCTATCATATAGGGTCTACACATGTTCTTCGATCGGCCTCCCCGACGCGAGCGGCAAGGGGGCCGGGAACCTAGCATTGGCGCTAGGCTTGACAACAATAGATTTCATTGCTTGTATGATTCTCTCACACTCTCATGATCTACCCTGATTCGATGTTGCTATTGACCTGTATGTTGTATCTTTGTACTTTTTCAACTGTAGTGTCCAGCGTCTTTGCGATGGAAGTTAACAGCAGGACATGGCCGCTCTTTCCTTTGCTAACACAAGCTTCCCTGCTACGGTTAGCTACCCTGCTTCGAAGGAAGGAGCGGTGGTCTACTCGGAGGTGTACTATGAAGCCCTCGAGGCTCGCATCCGACGTCAATCTGTACTATACCTACTACGTCGTAGGTATGGTGTAATCCACAGACCCGGCTCAGTGGCCCTAATGAGATTGCTCAACTATAGTGTTACTTCATCTTCATTCACAACAATGGGCGCTTTGAAAGATACTTCAGCCAACCGAGGTCGTGGGGATGAGCCTATCAAACGCACATTCGCTGTGAATCGAACAGAGCTGTCCTCGGGGACTGCTACTACTACCACAGACGATAGCATCGTGAACCAGGCGCAGCCGCTCTTCCGCCAGCAACAGAGCCCGGTCGCACCAGCCGAATCACTCAAGCGAAAGCAACAGTTGCAAAGTTCGCGAAGTTCGCGACGGCTTACCAATCTCAAAAGTTTCTTTCGCTTTCGCAAGTCTCGGCAACCGGATCTACCGTTAAATCCAGTACTCGAGCTTCCGACCAGACCGGAGAACACCAGGAATCTAGCCAGCGGGTGCATGCTAAGTCGCTGCATCGTCGAGGGTTATTGTGCGGAATCGACATCAAACCCGCATGGCAGCGGTCAACCCGACGAGGCTGGCGAGGCCCGCAAGGTGAGTGACAACACGATGTATTCTCTCCACTCGGACCAGACCAGCGCGACGGTGTGTCATGATCCCTCCAAGCGTCTTTCCATGCCCATTGCCCTTGCAGACCCATCCCTCTGTCGGAACCCATTCACCGATCCCCTAAATCTGGTAGACGATTCAGAAAGTAGCCGAAACCATGCAAGGAATCCGACTCGGACCACAAGACAGTCTAGCTCCGAGTCGAGCCAGACGGGGGTCTCGTCGACCTACGACGATACCGAGAGTTTCCAGCGACTAGCCAACCCGTTTGCTGGAGGGAGTTCAATCGAGTCCCGAAGTTCCTCACGGGACAGTTTCTATGTCTCAACCTCGGATGATAGTTCTGTGATTGCTGAGATCGAACGGCGCGCCGCCGTGCTGGAATTCAACGAACTGGTCCAGAAGCTCCGTCTCCCGCCTCTGCCGATGAACAACAGCAAGGGGGCAGAATCGGGCGATGGCTCGCATTCCCAGTTACCGGGTTCGCGCGGACAATTCCAACGGGATTGACGCTTGGATTTTCCAGCTGACTGGGTGCTAGGGCAGCCTCCCCCCACCACCACTGGCGAGAAGGTGTCTTCCGGACGGCGAGACCGACTCTACGGTCGACTACGTACGATGCGATCGACCCTGCAACTGGGCCATTCGTCGGAGGGACCCCGCACCACGCGGACTTTACGCCGAATGAAGACGTTGGCGCATGTGGGCACTCGGGTGAACGAGATGACTTCACTGACGGGGATGTCACTGGAGGAATTGGCGCGTCTCGGGGGCTATAATCTACTAACGCTGCCGGCCGAGTTTGCGCCTATGAAACTCCGCCTCCCGGTATGTTTTGTAACTACAATTACCTTTTTGGGACGATTTGGTAGGTCCTGGCCCCATCTCTACCCCACCGGAGATGCGAGATGTGCATGAGATGGAATGGTCTCGCTCATCTACGTCATTGCTCCAGCTGCCCCGGTGCGCGACGTGTTTGTCGATCCCGGCCATCCGAAAATGGCAATGCGAATCTACGACCATTTCGCCCAGTCGGTGCTCGCCGCCCTGCGACAACCTGATCGAATCCAGATGACAGTTGGACGTAGTGACCTGCCCCTGGCGGTGATCGAGCCTAGCGCTCGTACGATGGACGACACAATGGTGCAAAGCATGGCACGGGCATTCCTGGCACTACTGGCGGGGCTTCCCGGAAGGCTTCTGGGATTACCGGCCCTATATCGGGTGCTAGTGGGCATTAGCCAAGCACCCGTGGTGGGTGACGAAGTCGAACGGCGTCGCAGCTGTCTTGGAGGGGTTTCGCCGCAGGATTACGTCAAGGTCAAGGCCATTGGGCTGGCGCTGCTGGCCCTGACGAACACCATGCAGCTGCACCTGCTCTGTGGAGTGATTGGCCTCGGCGCCCTACTCCTGCATGAAACGCAGCGGCTAGCGCAGGAGGAGGCTCCGCGCTCTGTCAACAAAGAGAATGGACGGCGGACGAGTGGGGAACCGGGGCCGCTGACGCTGGACCGGCTGGGTCGCGTGCTCGGACCGTTGCTCACGGGGAGAGAGGGGTCTGGCGACACGCTTGGAGCTATCGTCCAGGAGATTGAGAGCGAAAGAGTGGTGATGATGCTCGTGGAGCACTGGCGAGGGATCAGTCGTCAGCTGCGCATTTGGGAACATCGCAACCTGCCGAGGCGGCGCCGGCGATCCGTGCAAATGGGACGTGCAATGGTCTGTTGATGAGACGGTTCTGAGGATCGGGGGATATCTCCGGGAGCAAATTGTTTGCTGGTCGGATGATACTTGTAGAAAGAAAAGTTAGGGAGCGATTGAAGGTTTGATATGAAGTCATTGGGGATCCGCATCAGGGGAGGATGGGCGACGCTAGTGGAATGGGGGCGTGAGCAAAAGGTACCCATAGACTCAGTACTTTGGGCAGCCGCTGTATTTTCTTTTTTTTTTTTCTTGTTTTTGCCAGAACCTGTATAGTATGTGTTTGATATTGACAGGGTGGCCCAGTCGCTGAGTTGTAGTGTCTCGTCCGTAGTGGGGACCGTCGAGGGAGCGGGTTTGCCAGCGGGCAGGAAGTATATTGGTGAGTTCCGCTGGCCATGGGACGGCCGCCGATCGAGCAAACCAAGGCTGGCCCACTGAATTGACCTTCTAGTTGTATATTGAGGAGGTAAAAGGGATCGCCGGGCTCTTTCGGCCATGATATCGAGCGGATGAACGGACTATCAGAGTTTTTCCTTTTCTTCCATGGTCGATGGTCTTGTACGGAATCCCACGCCTATTGAACCGAATTCAACGATTTCTGGTCGGCTCTGGGCGGGAGAGTGAGTGCGGGAGAGTGTCTGAATTTGTTGAGTGGTCTTTGCGATGTTGGAACAAAACCAGGTTTTCCGGTCCTGGGCAATGTAGACTACGTGAAGAGGAGAGGGGAGGGGATGGGAGGGGATTGCTCATGGAAGCGGGCCGCGTGGGGAACATGTGAGAGACAAGAAGGGAGCAGGGAGCAGGGAGCAGGGACTAGAAACAAACGACTAGAAGTGGCCTGGACTGAGAAGAATTGCTGCTGCTTCCATTCGACTCTATCTTATGGGCACTCTCTAAGAAGTTTTGACTCGTACGTTCACGGGTCGATCAATGACTTGTTGAGTCGTCGGACGATAGAGCCGATGCGGGGGAAGAAGGGATCTTTTGATCCTGGTCCTTGTATGAGTAGGGATTGTTGATTTGGCTGGCTGATTGGGTGGATGATCATCGGTTGATTTTCTTTTTCTTTCTTTCTCTCTTTCTTGCTTGCTTGCTTCACTGCTTGTTTGATTTTCTCTTTCGATGACGATGACGACGCCGACGATGATGATGTTGATGGTGGTGCTGGTGCTGGTGATTTTGTTGGATCCATTGATTGACTGATCCGTTGATTCAATGAATGGATGCATGAATAAGGTGATTCAGCGAGAAGTACGGTACCATACAGGATTTCAGGCCCGTCAATGCTGCGCACAAGTCATTTGGTACATGCATTATACGACGTACCTTACACTTACTCAGTACTTACTCAGTAGCTAGGGTCTTTTTCAATTTTCTTTCTTTGCCAGCTTTACCATGGTTTGGCAAGCAGCTACGAGGAGCTACGAGGAGCTACGAGGAGCCACGACAGAGGAGTGCCATTGGCGGAATGAGGTCCGCTCAGTCAAGTGGGACCGAATTCGTTGGCAGGAAGATGGCTTCGGATAGCCTCAACCGCCAATCAGCGGGCAGAGAAACCAGTGGAAAACCTCAGGCAGTCACCTGGCAGTCACTTGCAAGTGACCTGCAATGACGTGGTGTGGAATCAAATGGATGGCCTGGTTCTTCAGGACCTCCACCTACCGGATTCAGATAGCTACGAAGCTACCGTAGACTACGGTAGTATACTTGAGTATTCCTACTCAGACTAACTACAGCAAGCACATGTGATGTCAGTTCCCAAGGTCCCTTCTTGGCTTTGGCTGCTTTGGCTGCTTTGGCTGCTTTGGCTGCGGGGTGCCTTTCGGTCCAGTCCAGTCCAGGTTCAAGACGTTCTAGCCTTCAGCTTTACCTTCCAGCAAGGTTCGCTGCATATCCACGGGCCATTGCAGTGCCTTTCCCTCCCCCCCTTCCCCCCCAATTCTTGACACATTCCAGGGCTCCCTCTGAGATTGTCTCAAACAGGACGGAGATCGACATCCACTGTGCCAGTGGGTGTGTTTCCAGACCACGGAGCCTGCTTGTCTGCAGATGTCTTGTCTGTCTGTTGTCTGTCTGCTTGTTCTGATCTATTGCGGGTGTGTTTGGGCTTGGTGGTATCACAGGTCTTGATACTGTTCCAGTCTTTCGATTCTTTTTCTTTCCCCCTCCCCCCTCCCCTCCCCTCTTTCTTCTGTTGTACTTCCTTTCTCCTCAACTTGATTTCACTTTTATTCCTTCTCTACTGCTTTCTTCCCCTCCCACTCAACTGCTTGCCCACTACAACAACTGCAACGACTGCAACGACTGCTACTGTTACTACAATACTGCTATCCTATTATCTCCTATTCGTATCCTCCTTACTGTCATCAACTCTCGCTTCTCTCGATCCCCACTCACTCGCTCGCTCACTCGCTCTTTCACTCACCACTACTCATCCACCCACTCGCCTATATACTACTGGTTACACGCACCCATATACTCCCTCCCACCCCCGCCTTCCACATCACACTCTCTATACTCGACTCGACTCGACTCGAAACTCGGGGTCACAATGAATCCCAACTTCAACCGGTACTCCCGGAACTCCCACGTGCGGAACGGACAACCCACCCCGCCTCCCTACGATGAAAACAAGCGAAACAAGCGAAAGTTCTCGCAGATGGACGTCACAGGCCCAGTGCAGCAATACCAGCAACAACATCAGCAACAGCAATATCAGCAACAGCTGTCTCAGCAACAACATCAGCAGCAGCCACAACAGCTGTCCCAGCAGCTTCCCAGCCCTCCCTACGATGATGAGAAGGCCAAACGGGATCGTTTCCTGGAGCGGAACCGCCTTGCCGCTAGTAAATGTCGGGAGAAGAAGAAGAAGCTCAACCAGCAGCTGGAGCAGCGGTTTAACGAGCTGCAAACCAAGAACACCGAGCTCAACACAGAGATCGAGGATCTTCGCGCCGAGGGGATCGCCCTGAAGAACGAGCTGCTGAGGCATAGCGAGTGTGGGGACCCGGCCATCTCCATCCATCTCAGTCACATGGTCCAGAACATCACCGCCAGGGACCACGCGGCTGCAACCCGTCGGTCCGTCGAGATTTCAGATCTGCTGATGATGGGAGATCATGCTGCGGTGGCTACTGGCTCCAGGGTATCTGTTTCTTCCATGACCAACTCCCCTCCTGGTCTCTCCACCTCCAGGTCGGTTAGTTCGTCGGGTTCCTCCGGCCTCTCGCCTGATGCTGCTGCCGCCGCTGCCGCCTTCGGCTTTGATAGCCCGCCTATGCATATCATGCCATTCGCCAGCGGCTCCGCTAGCAGCAGTCACGACACACACAGCAGCCTCAAGTCGGCCATGGATGGCTCATTGGACTCGATGCCTGAATACGAGTTCCTCGAGGATCTTGCTTTGATGGACTGAACATGATATATGTTGCCGGCTTCAGCTCACCCCGGCTTTACTGCATAGCGGAAGGCCTTCTGATCGACTTTGATTTATTGTTTCATGGAAAAGCCAGCGGGAGTTTATGACTGGTATCACATCTGCCGGGCGGGAGGATGCGTTTCGGTTTTTTTTTTCTTTTTTTTTTTGTCTGGGAGATCTGAAATTGGTGGCAGTGGGAGGCTCACTGATTTGAGGGTTGTTGCTTTTCTTTAGCGATCGATTTGCTTTTGTATGGGCCAGGTGTTTTTGACTATTCTTCAAGCGGGTTTGGGGGGTTATGGCGTTCTACGGGAAAAGGCAGACACAAGCATACGCGAAAAAGTCACTGCCAGGGATGGGGATTGCTTTCTCTATTGGGTGAGGAGTATTGCTATTGCTAGCTGGGACTTGCTCATCATGGATGTACGGGATGAACGAGATAGTGCTAGCAAGATTGCTATTAATCTTAGAGTCTAATCAACGGACTTGGTGATATCTCGGCGGTGGCTGGCTCTTAGTACGTGGTGCTTATTATGGCTAAGTGCATTTCCCGGGGATGCTTAGTGGTACAGTACGGAGTCCACAATAAGGTTAAATGATTTGGTACTCCGTAATCTCTAATGGATGATCTTCGAGGCCTGTTCAAAGACCCGAGTAGGAGGTTTTCTTATTTTTTTTTTTCTTTAGAAAATTTTTTAAATTCCAGAGACATTGAGCTAGAATCCAGTCCACATTCTACCACTTAGATTGCCTACCTTAATTTACTGTACGGAGTACACCAAGTGAATGCAACCAGCGCACCGGAATTTACCCGGATAAGCTTCCAGAAGAGCAATTCCTAGGAAACTAGCTGGCACCTGCATATCGTTCAGTGTGGCTGGAATTTTACTTTTTGGGGGTTTCTTTCTTGTTTCCCTTCCTCTTTTCTTCTGGAAGAAGGATTCATACTCAGTACATACTACGAGTAGTGTGGATTGTGTTGTGGAGCCCCCCAAACCGGAAAATCCCAGAAAACAGGGTTCGAGGTTGTGCTGATGGAGAAATGGGGACAACTAAGGGGAGCAAGCGGAGGGAGCGGTTGTTCCCGCCGACGTCATTTACTCATACACAGTAACTTAGTACGAGTAGCTTGTCCGGTGGCGTTTGGTTTGGGAGGGTGATTTCCGATCGAGATCGCTCGTCCACGGTTTTGTTTTGTTTTTCTAGGGGGGGTGATCACCTACGTTTTGGGGAGGTGATTATCTTTTTTTCTCGTTCTTTTCTTTTCTTTTCTTTTTTCTTTTATAAAAAAAAGTGGGAGGGGGGAGGGTTTTCTTGGGTGGTTGTCTGGGATTTTTGGGATTGAGATTATTGCTGAGTACTGAGTATGTTCTGGATGGATGCTCTGGTTCTAGTCGGTACTAGGTAGTCTAAGTTAGCAGGTAGGGGCTGGGCTTGGTTCAATCCAGTTCTATGGGTAGGTAGTCAAGTCTGGATGGGTTAAGTCCTCCAAATTATTTTCCCAGTCCGGAATTTCTTGGGCTTCTTTCTGTCCTGGGTCTGGGTGATTGGCCTTTTGGGGGCGGGGGGGGGTTTGGGAACTTAAATCTTCCAAGCCTGAGGTGAATCTGAAGTACGGTACGGAGCGTACATGTAGCTAGGTTGCTTAGTGCAAAATCTATGCTGTAGTATGTAGTATACATTACAGATGGTAGTTTATCACAAGTAAGTAGTTCGTAGTCCATTCGGTAAAGTGATCGAGTCTGAGTCTGATCCAGTCTGGTCTTATCTACATTCTGTAGAAGGTGTTCTATTATCTGTAGTCAGTATGGAATCCAAATTGAACAGCATAGGTAGGTATAGTATACACCCCCCCTCCCCCCCGAGACCCACACCCACCGGATGTGGGAAACCAAGTTTGGATGCATTTAGCAGGGTAGATAGGGTATTATCTAGTAGGGTTCCTCCTTGGATAGAGACGCTAGTTGACTTATACATGTAGCTGGGTGGGCTAAGCTTACTGGGTATATCTTAAAGAACTGAAGTTTTTCTTTTTTTTTTTCTTTCTTTTTCCTTGTACTGCCAGGCGCTGCTGGGGTGGCTCCACCAACACCCATACTCACCACTCTGACGGAGGGATCTTTCCGGGTGAGTACTGCTAACCACCTAGTATAAGGTTGTTTGTCAAATCAGGGTGAGAAGGTAAGTGAATCTTGGGTATTCTGGGACACCTCTTGTAAGAGATAACCAGAGGTGAAGTAGTATAATAAGGAGGCTAATTTACTCTATACGGATTACTGGATAGCGGGTCTAGTCGAACTTGAGTTTATGAAAAGAAACATTGATGATAATATAAAACTGTTTACTTACTCTCTGCTTTGTTCTTCCAGTGCTTGTCGGTGATCCGAATCACACAATTTATTCTATTGATGGTAGTCCTTTACATTTGTTGGGGAGAGTTTGTCCTAACCACAACCCAGTACATTGCAAGATGAGTGGAAGCAATCTTTAAGAGTGGGGGGCGCTTTTTTACGTCTAAATCTGAAGACACCAGATGGTTTGGCAGTTCAGAGCTTTCTTTCTTTCTTTCTTTTTTGGTGATGATAAGACATCAAAGTACAGTGAGTGAGCTTTCCTCGACAGCGATAAAAGCACAATTCTGGGTTATATCTTAATATCTAACAAGTGGTTAAGCAGATTGTTTGCATACTGAACGAAGCGGATTCTGTATCGATGTTCTTATTGTGATTATATTTAACAAGAGGCCGAGGAAGTGTAAGCTAGACACAAAATAGAGAACCACATCAGCGTCTTCTCCGTTTACGGTGCCCGAACACTCAATCACACAGTCGGGGTCTTGGATCAGTTACTATGTCTTTCTTAAGCAGATGTTCCTGTGGTGACAAACGTGTATAGCTAGTAGAATACGTGGAAATCTGCCGGATATAGAGAGGGCTGCAATCATGTGATCTGGGATATCTCTCAGTGCTATTTGTGGGCAGCTCATCGACAGAGTGCAAGCCATCACATAAAGAACTGTCAGACAAAGGATCTATATCAGCCGCAATGATACATATCCTAGTTCCGAAGGGCTTGCAGGCATTAGACATATATCTCTGCCACAAGCAGTTTATAGATCTTTAAACCAAACAGTCATCTTCTGTGCTCTTTACATCTCTTTGTTTGTCACTTCATCTAAACATAACCCCATATGCCGTTCTCTAAGCAGCAGCATCGGAAACCGAACCGCAACCCCAATCGCAACCGCAACCGCTCTACTTATCATCCTCCTCCACGATTTTGGAACAACCTCACTAAGCTGTGGTTGACTAAAAGCGCCCTAAAAGAAGCTCACCGACAAAACCAACTGTGGTGCTCTGGGCGCCCGAGCGTTACATTCCCTCCAGCTTTCTGGGCATGGGAATGGAAATCCAGGTGACTGCAGACCGATATATGACAACAAAGCCTATACTTGATGTGTACGTATCATAGCGGATGTCTGGGCATTTACGCGACCCATCCTACAAGGTCTAGGAACCACTACAACCACCAAGACTCTTCTACTCCTACTACGACTGATTAGGTGATGACCCAAGTAGGGCAATGGGCATTACTCGGCGATTTCGAGACCTACCAGCGGGGCGTGACTGCCTATCAAAATGCGCGGGACATGACCCGGGAATTTCGAGACCGGTTGATCCAGCAAGCGAATGATCGATATACCGCTGGTCAAGTTCCACCAGTTCCCCGGATCTCAACTCGAACCACGACGAAGGCGGCGGTTCTAGCAGGGTAGATAGGTAAGCAGGGTTGAGATTGGATTTTGTCTCGGCTTTGTGAGAGAGAGTGATGGGTGAGAGTGCCTACCCAGTAAGATCTACCTACTGCTTCTACTGTAGATATGTTAGTAGGAAGTAGCGTAACCTCCATAGTATCTGAGGTGTTCAGCATTACAACACAATTAGCCAGCAAGATTTTGGGGAGTCGAGTTGGCAATACTACTACGTACCTAGTTCGACTTGCCAAAGTGTACTGGACATTGCATACCGTACTGTACTCCGAGTAACTTAATCCATGATGTATCAACAAGTGAACCCAAATAAGTAGTGTAGAACAACCAACCAACCAACCAACCAACTGAATTAATACTGGTATACCTACATAGGTACTGTAACCCCTTTCGGCCGACCAAAGATCCGACCGTGCGCCGCGAAGGTTCTCAAGATCGGGAAGCCCTGGCATCCAAGCAAAAACCTCACTTTGAATTTTTGGTCTTGACTTTTCCACCTGATTTTACTTCACCTAATTTACAGCGTAGGCTGGGCTAGGGTTCATGGTAAGGTACAGTACAGTGCTTAGGTAACTTTAGCTTTAGCGTAACTATGTACTCCGTAGCTCTCAAAGGGATTATCTTTACTCAGGTGATGTGATAGTTTTACTCCCGGACCAGAGTGGCCAGGGTTGATTTTATTCGGAGGTTCTTGGTCCTTGGTCTATTTGGTTCGGTTCTTTGCTCCAAATGATTGTTTTTCGCCACTGTCATTTTGATCTACCGCCTTGATATGGATCCCTCGCACCGCTTCCTGGAATGATCCGAGGCGGCGCTTTAGCAAATGAGACTCACGGAATGAGTGAATCAACCCGGCAGAGCTGGAACTATTAAGATCAAGACTAGACTCCACTGACAATCGTACACGACCTCACTCAGGAACTTTACTTATGCGGTGAGTGCAGTGCAGTAAGTGTAGTGTTCAACTGAGGGGGAGAGCGGGGAGATAAGCTCAGCTGGTTTATCTTCGCCGGTGGAAGTACAGCGGCAGCAGGGTTTGGGTCGTTGGCTTGGCTTGGGCTGGGCTGGGCTGGCTGGGCTGGAATGGAAGCCTGGAACTGATCTCGGCTGGTGGGGGGCCTTCCGTTCAAAGTTTCCGGGTTCTGGGCCCCTCCCCATCGCTCCCTCGGCCGGATGTCGGGCTTATTTCTGTTCTTCTGTGTTTTGGGGTGGGTTTGGGTCTGGGTGGGGTGCGTGGTTTTGGCTTGGTGGTGGTGGTGCTTATGATTATCTTAGTGGTGGGCTTGAGTGGGCGTTGAGGACTTCGAGAACAATATCAATTAATGGGTAGATCGAGTGACAGAGGAAGGAGACGGGGTATGCCTCGATGTTACATGGCTTCAGTTTCTTCGTAATCACCCTACGGCATTTTCTCTTTGTCTGTTTTGGTTTTAATTGAAATGAACGCGAAAGGCCGAGATCACGGTGCAAATCCATCCAACCCTAGACAAGCATCTCTACATTACTCTGCATCATCCCCGTCCCTACTGCTGACACCTTCATAACCCGCATCCGCATCCGCAAACAAAGAATCGATCTCCTCTAACCCCATCCCCCTCGTCTCGGGCAAAAACCCATACACCAAACCCGCGAACCCCGCATCCAGCACCCCGAACAACCCAAACGTCCCCCACCCCAGCCCCTGCAGCAGGTACGGCGTCGCAGACGACCACCCGAAGTTCGACAGCCACTGCGCCGCCACCCCCATCGCCACCCCGGGCTCGCGGATCCGCGCCGACGAGAAGAGTTCCGCGCTGCACGGCCAGGGGAGGGGACCCCAGGAGAGGTTGTAGGCCACGATGCTGAGGTAGATCAGGAGGATGGTGGCGAGGGAGGCGGGCGAGAGCGAGGAGGGTCCATGGTCAGGGTCAGAGTCAGGGTCAGGGGTGGAATGGGCAGGTGACGACGGCGATGACGGCGATGACGACGATGACGGAGCAACCGAGGTGGTTCGCAGAACGGCTGCCGTAGCAAGCATGCACACCGACATGGCCAATGCACCCAGAATCAGCAACGGCCGACGGCCGAAGCGGTCGGCCACAAACACAATGAAAAGCAGGCAGCTGATCACCTTCAGAAACCCAAAGATCCCCGTCAGCAACAATGTCAGACGGGCGGTGGCGTCAGAGGCCGTCGAGACATCACTGCTGCCCCCGACGAGCAGGGCGAAAAACTGCGGGCCAAAGTAGGCCATGGCGGTAGCCCCCGTGGACTGCTGGCAGACGAACAGGGCGACGCCCAGGATCAACCGATGCGCGTTGGCGCGCTGGAGGAGCTCCCGGGGGGAGAAGTCGGCCGTCGCGTGGGCGTCGCGCTCGATGGCCGACTGCATGGCCCGGAACTCGGCCTTGACCTCGGGGCCGCGCGAGGCGCGGATCCACGTCAGGCTGTCCCAGGCTTGGTCGGCGTGGTCGTGGGAGAGCAGCCAGCGCACGCTTTCGTGCAGAGTCAGCATGCCCACGCCCATCAGAGCGCCCGGGATGAGCTGCAAAGCCAGCGGGATCTGCCACTGTGCGGCGTTGCTGGGCGCGTACTGCATCCCGTAGTCGATCCAGTACGAGATCAGGATGCCGATCGTGAAGGTGAACTGGTAGCAGCTGCCCAGCCGGGCACGCATTGAGGTTGGGCTCATCTCCGTCAGATAGATCGGGATCACGGTAGCTGAGCCTCCGATACCCAGGCCGCAGATGACACGTCCGAGGTAAAAGGCAGACCGAGCATGGGTGTCGAGGATCTCGAAGATCACCCCTGCACAGAAAACAAAGGAGCAAATGGCCATGGCAGGGCGACGACCGAGTCGGTTGGTCAAGGGCCATATTACCAAGCTGCCAACCAGGGCGCCAGCCTGCTGGACGCCCACGGCAATGGCACTAACGCGGGTTTCATTCTGTGAGGTATATCGAAAAGACCGGTGGAAGGAGTCGAAGGTCAAAACCCCTCCTGCATGTATGTGTCATTCTTATGGCCTTGCCCCGTGGGATAGAGATCAATTACCGATCACGCCAGAGTCGTACCCGAAGAGCAGGCCCCCGCAGCAGACTATGGCCGTCAGCCAATACAGACGGAATAGGGCATGGCGGGACGGCAGCGGAGCAGAGGATTCCTCCTCTGCATGCTGTATGAGAGGATCCTCAGGACGGATATCATCCTCAGTCACCAAGACAGAGGACCTCATCATGGGCCTTACCCAGCAAACCAGACACCCGGCGGGACTGAGAGATATATATATATGTATGGGATTATGACAAGAAGTAAGGAGGCCTTCCCGCGGAAATTGCGAGTCAGATGACGTACCGGCGCTTACGTGTTGCATGCAGCGGTCGGGGCGCCGATCATGATCGGCTATCAATCAGATCATCACGAAGGAATCAGTAAACAATTCCCGGCGCACACAGCGCGAATCCGCCCACGTTCGCGACGCATCCTGCCGCCTAGTCATCTCCTGCAGCAGGAGATACACATTTTCGGCATGCGGGTGTCGCGCGGGCTGAGATTGGTCCTCACCGTTCTCACCTCGCTGGCTCATCTGCTTCATCTGCGACAAGATCCATTGCCGCTGCTCCAAGGATGCCTCCAGCCCAGCCACAAACAACGGCCACACGAAACTCGCAGGCAGATGTCGCTTCTCTCCTGCAGGGGACTGTGTGTCGATTGCTGCCAGATGAAGAATGCCTTTCACGGCTCGATGCACTCGATCCGTCCGCGGATAGATGGCGAATGCGACGCGGTGCAAGTAGATGAAGATCGCCAGGAAGTTGGCAATGTACTGTCTGAAAGTCCGGCATGCCTTCCGCGCAACCGCAGGCTGTAGAGTGTCGTGGAGCAGCTCGGGGCTGCTGTGGATGTCGAGCACGCGTGGACGTCGGGTCCAGAGCGCTTCCAGGTCGGCGCTTATCTGATGCGCGAGCTGGAGAACCTCGAACTCGTCATTAACAGTGCCGCGATTTCGGTGGTGTAGGTCTATGCACACAATCCGTCGGAGAATCTGTTGCGTCTGCAGAAGAAACTGGAAGGCCGGGCCGGTTACTGCTTCACGGATGAGGAACGCAGGCTCGGGGCTGTCCTCATCCGCACTATGGCTTTCCTCAGGTGGTAGGACCTCAGCAACCCTTCTTCCTGGCGTAAGGCTCCCCAGGCCAACGAGCGGATCACCCTCACGCCCTGCAATCAATGCCTTGACGTCTAACAGCGAGACCCAGGAACTGATCAGGCGGCTCACGCCGGTCCAGGGCCTAGTCCGGCCATGAAAGCGTTGTAGGAGTAGATAGGCTGAGTGGAGGAAGGACGTACCCGCTTCCCCCAGATCTGGACTCGACAGATGCTATTTGGTGAGTCCACGGTCCTGCAAGTCTCTAGAGAATCACCTACCTCCGCCAACATCAACATCAGCACCGTTGTGAAAACGTGCCTGAGCACAGGCTCTGGTACCTTCATGACTAGACATGATTGCACTTCTGACCACGCCAGCTGATGGTACCTGGACTTGCGGTGGCGGTCCCACGCCGTCCCCTCAACCCACGTCTGATGCACCTCCGAATAGCAGTAGATACCAAGTAAGACAGCTCGACAGTCTCGCGACTGACGCACAATTCGTGCTCGCACATACTTCCAATCCAGGTCGACGGGGCCAAAGATTGTAGGCGGCGGATCGCTTGTCTCGAAATGCGCGAACAGTTCCGCTTCGTACGGCGTCTGTTCGTGATGGGGGGCATCCGTCTCTCCAGAAGGACAATCGCCTAAACTGCCAGAAATCGAGCTCATGTCCGCGCTAGAAGCCCAGTTCAGCGTTTGTGCATGGTTCCTGGTGGATTCTGTAGTGGTAGCGACACTGGCAAGCTCAGGTCCCGCCGACAACCCAGAGAGCCCATTCGTGGTTAGGTCGAGGTGCTTCTGCTGAAAGTCAGAGGTAAACTCCCCAATGAAACCGAGGATATCGGACGAGGAGACTAAGTCGACAGCTGATTCGGTTGGCGGATGGGCAGAGGCTGGCTGTCGTAGTGGTGACAAGGCTGGAACTCCGTCTTCACATAGGACAGTGTGGAAGAAGTTCACGTCGGGACGGTCAGAGGGTGTTCCGGCAGCCACGGTTGCGGAGGCTGCAGGACCATTCTGGCAGTTGATTACTCGTGAGGGGATGCGGCCCGCGACGATGGTCTTATAGGTACATGGGAGACGCAAACGAGTGCAGTTCGCACATGTTGGTTTGAGCTCATCGCACCGCACCTTGCGCGACCGGCACGTCAGACACCCCGTGCGGCGGCGGGGACCTGATCGGCCCATGCCACGTGCTCGAGGAGTCTAGCATAGTTAGTATACAGTCTTGTGAGATAAGGTATTTGGAATGTGCGAGGGCAGATACCTCCATGGTCCCCAGATCTGACCTGAAAAGTAGCATGCATGATGATTGTCTGTTGGTGTCGAAGCGCATGAAGCGGGACTGACGATCACCCAGCGTGGGTTCAGGAACCGTCGCCGGGAACACCCGCCGCGGACCGCGCTGCGTCTACGGAATAACAAGGGAACAAAGAATGGCCTACACGTAAGGTGGAGAGATTTACTGGAATCATTACTTCTATATGACTTAAGGCTGTCCTGATTTCTTCATGGTACCCTGTGGTAGAGCACCTCCCCAGGTACAAGCCGCTTCTTGTCCCCACCGAGGCATTTCGACGTATGGAGCAGATGTCCCCGTTCCTTGCGCACATACGCCGCAAAACAAGCTGCAGCCATCGCGATGGCACCGTAGCTGATATACACTGGGTACTTGAACTGTTCCGGTGAGGGAAAAGCGATGGTAGTCGCAAATGATAACAGCTCGAAGATGTTTTGGAGAGCCATTTCCGTCGCGGAAAACCGAGCCCGGCAATCTTCGTCGACTCCCTGCTCTCGTCAGCACTGGGCCTCTTCCTAGCAATAGGACTTCTTACCTCTTGCACCAGAAACTGTACGGACAGATCGAATCCCCATAGCCCGACCCGACTGAGCGCCACGCCCACGATCAGACTGACAGCGACCACCTGAGAAGAGGGGTCGAGCAAGGCAAAGGCCGCCACCGCTGTCACCAGACAGACGAATTGCCAGTTCAAGAACCACAACCCAGACCGTATGGGTCCGATTCTGTTCATGATGAATGGAGCCGCCCAAGTCCCGGATAGCTCCGCCGCCACAGCACCAATTCTCATTGCGCTCACTTGCAGGGGAGTGAAACCGGTGTGAAGCAGGTAAGTGACCATTGTCGCGCCAAAAGACAAAACCGTCAGATAGAGTAGACTCAAAGCAAAACTGGCTAGGAAGAGGGGACTTTGAGTGTACTCTTTCCACGGAGCTGCAGCGTCTTTGACCCGCTGCTTAAATAGCTGAGCTACGCTTCGAGTTTCAGTCGCACTGCCCAGGGCGCCCTCCGATCCAGCCGCTGGCATATTACGCCCTAGCTGAGAAACTGAAGCATAGACCTGGAATTGGTGAGCATTGAATCGGACACGAGATGACCCATCATACCTGTGCGATGGCAACATATTCAACAGCAACACAAGACACATTGACCCCGAGAGTCGTCCATATAGCAGCTTTGGTGGAGAAGCCGTCAACCAGCGAAATGAATATGGGAGCAATGAGCTTGCAGAAAAGATCTATTCTTCTCATAGATGCGTTGAGGTCTACTCAGTCAGCTTACATCGAGCCAGATTATGCTAGAAGGCTCCTACCTTGACGAGGTATCTCTAAAGCATCTGCCACAACAATGGCCTGCTCAGCACGTCAGAAGATTGCCGTGCAGTCGTGCATGTCATGAACCTACCCAATCCCGCTCCACTGCTACTGTATTGGCCGTGGCGGCGAGTTTCTCGAAACAGGCCAGCACCACTGTCGCTAAGAAGAGAAGGATCCTCAGCGTCGAGTTCGCCGAAGCAAGTAGCACCACAAAGCAAGCACAGGAGCCCGCTACGGGGAGTCGCTGCCAGACTAGGATGCTATTAGCATACTATCGACTGAAAGGTCAAGAACCATCTGCGTACCGATCGAATGTCTAAGTGCAGTCAATCGATTGGATCGGTCCACAACCGAACCGAGCCATGATGACAAGACAACGGCCGATAAGGACCGCACGAGTGCGTAGATTGAGGCATATAGCAGGGTTCCGGGGAAGATGGATGCCAGGAACAGAACCGCGCCGAATTCAAACATGCGGGAATTCCATGTCGAGAGAGAGTGAGAGATGTAGAGTCGTAGCAAAATTCGTGATGAAGCTCTTGAAGACACCGTCTGTGGGCTCACTGGTCTGTCGATCAGTGGTTCGTGGGCAATTAGAGAGATCGATATCTCGTCCGGTTCGGAGGTGGACGGGACCATAGCGGGACGTTTAATTGCAGGATGGTCGCACCAGACAAAAATACTTCCAGTAAATTTGATGTTCAGGACATCGCAATCTGGCAGCGTAGATCGTGCACTTATAGAGTAGTGATTGGTAACCTTTCAATTGCAAGGAGGACTTGAAGAAAAGGTGGAGCGGAGGGTGAATTCCGAGTGGGCTGAGGAAAGAGAATGAAAGTAGCCGTGGTTCGTTCGCCGGGTGAGGACCGCGGGAGCCTAATATAACTACTGACTGTACTGTAGATCCATGGATATGTGCTGTATCGTACACAGCATCGTTCAACATGTACTACCTCAAATCGACGCATGAAACAACATGAAAATTGATTCATCAGATAGTTATTCTCACATGTCATTCATCAAGCTGTCTAAGAAACTGCTCGCAACGAGACCAGCACCGTTGACGAACTTTTCCGAAAGAAATCCCCAGGGTCACTACTCTCCGACTCAGCTTTGTAAGAGAACAGTTTCGCAGCAATACCCGCAAGGCAAAAGGCATATGAAGACATGATCCCGCTCCCTCACATGCATTGCTAAGGTATGATGTTCAAAAATGTACAGCAAACACGGTAAAACTTTATATCCAGATAGGCAGCAGGCAAGTGGGGGCATGAAGAGTGGATGAGAAGGATAGATGCATCGCGATTCCTGTCACGAGTGAGATAGAACAATAGGAAGACATTAGAGCGCTGGGATTAAGATTTGAAGCTTTCTTGTCTTCGCCCGCCGACTATGAAAATACCCTCACACATGAATCCGCACTTCCAGTGGCCAGGATACACCGGATCTTCTTGTTCGCCTCCTGTCTTTGAGCCCCAGGACCAGCCTCAGCGGTCTCTTCTGTGACAGCATCATCCGTCACCACATCGGGAGCCCACCTTATGCAGCTGACAAAGTGTCCATGCGCGTCGCTAATGGTCTTGACGAGCTTGGCTTCCTGTGAGAGATCCCAGCACCGGATAGTCTTGTCGTCCGCCACACTGACCAGATATTTGCCTCCCGGATGGAACACCAAGCCTCGGACCCAGTTATCATGACCGACCAAGGTCTTGATCAGCCGTCCCCGCGAGTCCCAGAGTCTGATCGTCTTGTCACGAGCCCCGGTCGCAACAAATTCGGCTGAGCTGGTTGCAGGGGGAGGCTTCTTCAGGCCAGCCAAGGTTGCTAGATACTTGTAGCTGGCTGGCGGCGCGAAGACACAGCATTCGAGATAGTTCTCATGACCCAATAGTGTAGCCTTCGCCTCCGCCGTCGCAACTTCCCACACAGTGGCGGCCTGATCTCGGCCACCCGACACCAGCCATTTCCCATCAAACGAAGGGGAGACGTCTCGAATCCAATTATCATTCGAGCGGATTGTCTTGACGCAATAGCCCGTGGATGCGTCCCATATACGGATGGAGGCATCGCGACTGGCCGACACGAGCAGATTTCCGTTGTTGGGCAGGAAGCTGACCGCCGACACGGAATGGTCGTGTCCGGAAAGAGTTCGGATATTGGCATAGTCGTTGCTAGGGTCCCATAGTTTGACTGTAAGGTCACTTGAGCAGGACGCCAGCAGTGTATGGCCTTTTTGTCCGCCATAGTCCAGACCCGAAACTGCCCGCATGTGGCCCTTGAGTGTCCTCTCCAGTTCCCCTAGTTCCCAATCCCAGATCTTGATGGTGCAGTCTTCGGAGCCCGACGCCAGCGATGTGTAGACAGGATGGAAGGCAACGCAAGTCACTGCATCGCGGTGCGACTGAAATTTGTGCCGCGCCGGTGATGAGGGGAGCCAGCTCGTAGGGTCTTGGTTAGGTCGTGATCGGGACGTCAAGGCCATAGAGTCCAATTCGGCCTGCAAGGTCGACACCTTCGACTCTAAGTCCATGATCTTAACTGTCCGTCAGCGCATGCGAACCCCTCTCCCGGTCCCGCGCCCACGGCAAGCGGTTGGTGATTTCAAGCGGGGTAGGGAGAAAAATGCTCTTACCTTCCTCTGTAGCCGAGCCACGCTCGTCCATTTTTTCTCCAGCAGTCCCTCATATTTTTTGCATGCGGTGTCGTCAAAGCCGTCGCCGATCGGGAGCTCTTCGCGTATGGTCGCAACGCTTCGGGTAGCATTTATGGAAGATAGATAAGCTATTAGGGACTTGTGCCTAGCCTTGTATCAGTGGATCAGCAGACAACTCAAATCGGAATCCGCAGAGAAGCTTACAGCTCCTCTGCTTGTCTTGTTGTCAACGTTTGACTCATGACGAGAGATATGAAGTTGGGTGGATTTAAAAGCGATTTCGGGTTGCGGCCGCCAGAGGGCGACGCACTTCGTCACACAGACGAGCAATCGGGAGTGGTTGCTGTTGCGGTCACTGTGGCAGTCGGATTGGGGAATTGAGAGAGAGAAAAAAGTTCAGAGCATGACAGAAATCAGGGAGGCAGGAATTTAAAGGTTCGGGTGGTCAAACGCAAAATCGAGTGAATGGGAATCATGAATTCCTTTGCGTTGTATACAGTCGGTTTCGCGCGTGCAGCGCCCAGGGGCCGCGGGACCTGTGGGCACGTGTTTCGATCTAGAGTGGGCGGTGAAGGCAAGAATCCAATGAGGGAACATTTGCTCACAAGGCGGGGTAATGTGCTGCTGAGTCAGATCACTATGCTGCACAGTCGGTTTGCCTGGTGGTCGATATCTCTCTATCAGAGTAACTCCATGACAATGAAAGATAGTCGGTAGACAAGGCTGGAAGCACTTAGTCTGGGATACAACCTTCTTCTAGGATTTTGAAGATCTGTGTCAGAACATCCAGACATGTACATACATGATCTACCCACCGTGTGAGTAGTGATCACGTGATCATATATTCTACATGGTTTGGAACCCGCCTTCTTCTATTGCACATTTTAATGGTATCATAATAGTATCTAATAAATCTGTTGATAAGTGAACAACGAGTATTCACTCGTGCCTTTTCACTCCCATTGCGTGCCCTTCAGGCGCTGCATCAGGTAATCGACCTCGACGACCTTGGTAAGGGGAATGACATATTCCTAAAAGACAATCAGTTAACTCCTTCACCTCATAGTAGAGGAGTATTCTCACCTTGTACATCGCAACCACCGCCTCGACATTGATTTTGGGTCCGCTCTCCGTGGGAAAGGCGGGATCCGTGCCGTACGTCTTAGCCTTCAATGCCAGGCGCTCGAGAACCTTCTGTTCGACCTTCGCATCGGTGATAGCAGCATCAATACCCTCGCGGTCATTGGCCTTGATCAATTTGACGAAGCGCTCGGGTTCCTTTTGGAACTTGGACTCAGCGACAAACTTGCCGAAATGGATGCGACGCGAGAGGGCCTGTAGACAGCTGACGTCGCAGGTAGCGGAGGAGCCATAGTTCTCCTGAGTTTCGCCGCGGTCTTCACGGCCGAACTGAGCGCAGACGGCGGGAAGAATGTTCTCAATGTAGCGTTGCTTGATGATGCCATTGACGTTCACGTCATTGTCGTGCAAGATTCTGGGGTATTGCAGGGGCGCCAGAATAGGTTCTTCCAAAACCTCGGGAAAGAAAGGGTATTCATCGGGCGACTGGTAGCGACGGACGCGGGACTGAATGCGTTCCTGCTCGCGAAGCAGGTAGTCCAGGAGGCTGATATCAGTTTCGGGGATTGAGACACCGCCGGGAGTGTAGACGGGCTTGTTGAGGGGAAACTGGACTCGTTCGATCAAATGGAAAGTGATGGTATCTTCAAGTCGACTATAGCGAGCGGATTAGTGGGCTGTTCTATGATTCCTAGGGAGTGAGGCCAAATTGTGAGGTATGCAATACGACGGTGGGGGGAGGGGGCGAGTAGCAGGGATGATGGTCGACGGTCTTTAGAATGAGGGGATCTTCGATAATGACGGACGGACGGAGGGGCAGGATTATTTCCGGCTGATCGTCGACTCACATTAGCTGAAAACGGATATTGGCAAGGTCCAACGCCTTGGAGGCATCGGAAAGATCAATGGCTGTATCCATGATGTTGCAAGATTATCAGTTTATGAAAGAAAAGAATTTAATTTCACTATCGGAAGCAGAGAATCGACGACGTAGAGGTTTCAAACATTCCTTGGGAACGATATCGGATTTAAGTGCTGGGCAGGTTACAGAACCTACAGCACTAGCCTTGCCGATCTCCATGGCTCTGACTCGATTTTGAGAGCGGCATCAGGACTACATCCCGACGGCTGCACAAATTATACGAGCTCAATGCGCGATAGCAAACTAAGATCCCAGTATTTAGTTCATGATTTGTCGCCGGAATTTGATTTTAAGGCGCCCTGACAGGGAGGACGAGAGCACTTTTTAATCCGATTCATACATCTATACGTGGTAATTACGGTAATCTAGGTACTGCTAGGCCGACGTCGGGGAGCTGGTACTGTACCACAGGCAGTAGGTAATTTATGATAATCACAGGTTTGTGGCTGGTGATGCCGTCATGTCATGTGCCTGTTCCTTCTCTTTTCCTTACCTGCCTTGCCTAAATCTGGAGAGGAAGAATCGCTGATGGTGGGGAAAAGACCTTTGAATAAATATGAGGTTCTGATGCACTTTTCTTCTGGCGTCATGTCGATTATCCTCGGTTCTTTCGCTCACCTCTCATACTATCACGCACAGCCACCGTCCCCTTCTCCCTTCCTTGGGTGGAGACTGAGCTCGAGCTCTCTCCAGTAAAATACCACCCGAAACACGGTAATTCATCGCGTGCAACTCCGTCCATCCAGAACTTCTTTCCGCAATCTTCAAGGCTTAAAGAAAGCCGACCAACTGCCCGACTGACGACCGCACCCTGCTGAACGACCCTTTCCTTTCTCAACGCTGCAACTCTCGTATGGGCTTGAGTGCCTCAAGCTTTCCTTCGCCCCCCTCGTCGGTGTTGCTGTCATGGACAGGCGCCGTCGTGATGATTCGCCTTCCGGTCTATCAGATATTGTCGAACAGGATGGTCTTCTAGGAACCGGCATCACGGTAGTGTTCTCTTGACGTTATTAGCGGCAGAACAGATCAATACTGACATGGCACTCTATCCGTGGATCAGACTCGTCATATTGAGGCCTTTGGACGGAAAGTCACATCGACTGCTGGGCATTTGATGGGACCGACTTCCGAATCTTCCAACGGCGGCCACTATCACAACGCCATGGTTGACATTCAGCGCGAGCTGCGGCGCCCTGCCGCTCAGCGCAATGTGTTCTCCCTGACTCAAACCACACCAACCGACTTGGTCCGCTCTAAACTGTCTACATCCGAGATCCAATCGCGAGCCATCTCCTCCCTTCCTGATGAGCTTCTCATGAACATACCTGAGGACAGCAGCTCCTACTCGCTCTTCCAAGGATTTCAAGCCTCTCAAGATGATATTGAATATCGAAAGGCCCACCGCCGGCGCTCGTCCAAGAGCAAGAAGCTATTGAAGGATGGGGAGACGCACGCCGCTTTACCTTCCGCGCCCACCGACTTGAGAAAGGAACGAGATCTACTCAGCCGCAGGATGGACCTGATGGGTGTTCGCAAGAATATGTGCAGCTCGGAGATACATGAGATAGATAATAAGATCGCAAACTTGCACAACATGCGCAAGATTGTTCTAGACCGGTTAGCCAGCCTAGAGATGGAGGAAGCCGAATTGGAGCATGAATGTGAGCAGGAAACAGGGTTACCATATGCGATCTTGACTAGCGGCTGACCAAGGCTTAGTGACGGAGGTTGATAATAAGTTGGAAGATATTGAACAAGAAGAAGCAGCTCAAGCGCAGGCTCAGGCCCCGGCAACCCCAAAGTCATCAGCAGCAAATGATGACTCGACCATTTCGGAAGACCCGGCAATGGATGCATCCTTCATGTCTGAGTCTATATACCAAAAGATTCCTTCCCCTAAGAGCGTCAAGCAGAAATCAATAAGTAAGTATCTCCCACTGCGATGCCGTGAGGGAACACTGGCTGATAAAACAGGGAAACGCTCGATGCCGATTTTACATGAACATTTCAGTCCGGGTTCGGAGATTAAAGAGATGGCGGCTCATTCCGACATGGTCACTGCGATTGATTTCGACTATCCATTTGGTACTATGATCACCGCGGCGCTGGATGACACCGTGCGGGTTTGGGATCTCAATGTTGGCCGTTGCATTGGATTCCTGGAAGGGCATAATGCTTCGGTGCGCTGTCTTCAGATTGAGGACAACATCGTTGCCACGGGCTCGATGGATGCATCTGTCAAATTATGGGATTTGAGTCGCGCCCGAACGATGACCACTCGCGACAATCGCATCACCCGCCGCGATGATGGAGACGAAGAAACCGTTCCAGCCGACGACGCTTCGGTGGCATCCCATTCCACCACGCTGGAGGACTGCTTCGTCTACTCATTAGACGCCCATGTCGACGAAATCACCGCGCTTCACTTCAAGGGCGACACGCTGATCTCCGGATCAGCCGACAAGACACTGCGACAGTGGGATCTGGTCAAAGGGCGTTGTGTGCAAACGCTCGATGTGTTGTGGGCGGCCGCGCAGGCGTCGTCGCTGGGAGGAGATTCGCAATGGCGCCCCTCAGGACGCCTGCCGGACGCATCGGCAGACTTTGTCGGGGCTGTCCAGTGCTTCGATGCCGCTTTAGCCTGCGGTACGGCAGACGGTATGGTCCGTCTTTGGGATCTGCGCAGTGGACAGGTTCATCGTAGCCTGGTGGGCCACACTGGCCCTGTTACATGCCTACAATTCGACGATGTGCATCTGGTCACTGGAAGTCAAGACCGCAGTATCCGGGTATGTTATTTTGTTTCTGGTCTGGGTTGATTGGGTGCTAATTGCCTTCAGATATGGGATCTCCGAATGGGATCCATCTATGATGCCTACGCCTATGATAAGCCCATCACCAGCATGATGTTTGATACCAAGCGGATTGTTGCGGCTGCAGGAGAGAACGTTGTGAAGGTCTACGACAAAGCCGATGGCCACCACTGGGATTGCGGCGCCGGAGTCGGCGCTGATGAACAGGGCCCATTGCCTGCAACAGTCGAGCGAGTGCGACTGAAGGATGGCTTCCTAGTTGAAGGCCGCAAAGACGGTATCGTTGCGGCGTGGACATGCTGAGATGACTATACATTTCTAAGACATGCAGAACCCTGCCACGCACATGCTAGCATTTGGATGGTTTTGTGTTTTGTGACTGCTTTGAATGCCTCAGCGACTGTATATTATCTTTACGTTTGGCCCAACATAGAAAGGAACCATGGCGTCTTACGGTAGGATCAGCCGTTGTAAACTAGTTTCTTATTGAAACATGATGCCCTTCTCGTGGCCACCCCACTACCCGATGCTTAAAATTCTTCTTTGTTCATATCTGAAACACGCTTCCTCAATGCCATATATAAAAATAGCTGAGCAAATAAAGAACGTAGCTTGGGTTTCACGGACACTGTGGTTGTGATGAAGCAACAAAGAGAAGAACCACCATATGGCACGGGTGGTTTGGTGCTTAGGACCGAGGAACAAATGCCACTCTTGCACTGCTACGTCTATTTCAAGGTTACAAGTTGATCCTCCTTGCAATCGATTAGTACATACTGGAGGTAGTATCGAGTAGTTTGCTTGTGGTCATGATATTCGTTCTGTATACTCGATGCACTGTAAAGCGCGGACACCGTGGTGACAACCATTCCCGAATAGGCAGCTAAATGTGTACCACCTTCGTATCTGTAATATTGAC